GCCCTCCTCCACTCGGAACAGTCCTCCGGATCCGTACTGCCCAGAGCACCATTTCAAAGTGCATCCTCAATTATTTACATCAGCTGCTGTCGTGACCTGCTAGGTGGGCTCCTCACGCCAGGCGGGCCAGCGCGCTCACCAGGCACCCGCTCTCTGGACCAAGGGTCATGTTTACAGTGACCACAAACGGCTTTGGGAACATTTCTGACCCTTTTCTAGGACGGGTTTGTGTTAGCAGGCGACTCAGAGCTATGGACTGCTTTTTCCATCACTGACATGTGACCCGGCAAGATACTCAGAAAAGAGGGGACGGAAGGAAGGAGGAGGGGCCACAACAGCACCCTCAGACAGAGCTCCTTTTGTGTGTTGCTGCCTTCACACTTTTCCAACGTGTACGCTCTTAAATGCAAACACAGGCTCATCAAACGTGTTTTGTAGCTGATGCTTCTACTCCAGTGCTTCTGTGAGCACTTCTCCAGGAAACACAGCTCTCGCGCGAGGCCGTGCGCGGCTGCAGCGGTTTCGCTGTGTGGGTGTCGTCCCTCAGCAAGGCCCCGATACATCCCCTTGAGGAGCAGCGGCCTCCCAGGCCCTGCCCAAGCAGCCAGCACTTCTGCTCTCTCACTAAAGCCAGGGCGTCTTGCCCGGCTGGTGGCGCTTAGCATCGACCTATGAACCAGGAGGTCACAGTTCGATTCCCGGTCAGGGCACACGCCCAGGTTAAGGGTTCAATCCCCAGTGTGGGGCGGGCAGGAGGCAGCCAATCAATGATTCTCTCTCATCATTGATGTTTCTAGCTCTCACTCCCTCTCCCCTCCTCTCTGAAATCAATAAAAGTAATATTAAAAAAGAAATATATATTTAAAAAACCCCCACAAAACCAGGACATCTTGGTACCCTGGGGTGAGATCCCAGCACAGAGGGTGGAGTGACATCGAGGGTTAGGCGGCACTGCCTTAGATCGGGAGCAGAGAGTAGAATTCCCTTCACCTCGTTCTGCTCTGGTGCCGGGACGATGGTTCATTCTGACGGATCAATGGAAGGCCCAGCCGGGGGAAGGGGTGGCGAGCGGGCGGGGGGGGGGGGGCACACTCTCTAACACCAGCGCTTCCCCAGCGTCTCCCTGTGGTCGGGCCTGAGCTTTTCTAAAGATCTGGACGTTGAAGTTCCATCTCGTTCCCTCCATCCCCACCAGCAGCATTGTGAGCGTGGCGTTCTCAGGTACTAGCTATGCCCTGTTCGCGTGCTTGTTTGATTTTGTTGCTCATATACTAAGCATAACTAAAGCAGCTGAATTTAAAATAAGTTTTAAGTGTTAGTCTGGCCATTTGCAGTCATATTTGTCTTGGTTTTCCAGGTTTCTGTCTTCCAGGAAAGCTGCAATCCAGGCAGAAACAAGGGCCCCAGAGAAACTGACAGAGCCAGTCCGCACAGGGAGTTGGCGGGAGCCTCCCAGGGGGCGCTAGGACCAGGGGGCAGAGGGGACCAGGGGGCGGAGGGGACCAGGGGGCGGAGGTGAGCATAAGGGGCTAAGCAGATCCCTGTGAAAGAAGAGGGGGGCCTGCTGGGGTGCGGGAGCTGGACCACCTGCTGGACCGGCTTCCTTTATGCCCACCCAGCACCAGCAGCGCGGGAAATCCCATCAACTGTGTTCAGCTTCAGAGCTAATTTTCAGGTGGACAGAAAATCTCCAACTGATGCAGCAAACTCCAAAGAGATGCTAAACACAACTGTCAATGTTTTCTCCGAACCTTTCTACACGTTAGCAAGTCTGAAAACTGGGCCATTTGTTTGAGTGCTTTGTAAAACTTCACCCCAAACTGCTGCAGGAGGGAGGTCTCAGGGCCGAGACCAGGAAAGAGAAATGGAGAGACTGCGGTAACAGATTTCTGTGGCTCACACGTTGTACCCTTCAGCATCCATCCATCACCTCTTCCATTTGCCCCAAATGCAAACGTCCTACATGCAGACCAGGAAGCGCAGGCAAAGAATAAATAAGACGCCGTAGAGAGAGGTGGGGCGCGGCTGAAACATGTGAACCTGTCTGCATTTGGACACCTGGTCAACCAAGTCGTCCTGACATTCTAAGTCCTCTCCATGGACTCAGAACGGGCAGGGGCAGGGATAAGCATGCACTGGGAGGGGGGGAAGATGTGCTTCAAGCGCTAGCCTGGCACATGGGAGTGCCCAGCAACGGTGCCCGTGGCCACTTCAGAACGCAGCAACGAAGTGCTCAGCCCGCTGCCCAGGAGCAGCGGCCCCGCAGGTGGTGCTGGGAGAGCAGGCCTGGGGCACGTCTCGCTCAGCTACTCACTAGGGCTGTGGCGCCCACACGGAGCTGTCCAAGTACCACGCTTCCACTGCCAGGTGGGAGCCACTCCTGCCCTCAGCCCTGGGGGAAGCAGGAGAGGGACAGAGAGCTGGGAGAGCCGCGCAGACAGGCTGGTGCAAGGGCAAAGCCTGGTTTCCCCACAGGAGCCCATTTCCCAGCACCTGTGTGAACACATCCCACGGCGCTGTGTGCCGAGTGCGACATGGCTCAGCTCAGCAGGCACTCGGCACGGCCACTGCTTCCCACACCGTTAGCAGTCGGGCTTGCTCAGAGCACAGCCTGCAGGCCTCCCAGGAGCCTGTGCCACAGTGGCCACTTCACTGGGCAAGGCTGCTGGTCACTGCAGGCAGCAGCACGCTCCAAGTTCAGCTTTCTCCCCCCAGTTTCAGCTCTGTTTCCGAGAGGTTATTCTAGAATCTAAGAGGAGGAAGGAAGAGGAGTGTGGTTTCATGGTCTCCCACACAGCCCCATGGATGAGCTGCGGGCCGGCCGAGGAGCAGCAGAGGCAGGCTGGCCTGGCCCCGTGGCCTCGGCTCACTGCCCGGCACGGCCCCACTCGGCAGCATCCTCACCACCACCCGCGCTCATCCACCCAGCAGCGCCCCCTGACCCTGGCAGGATTCCATGCTGGGGCCCCACACGCTTTCCAGTCCAAGGTTATTCCAGGTTGTCGATGGGCCTGGGAGCTGTCGGAGGATCACGAGCAAGCAAAGCACAGGCAAGTGGGAAGCAAAAGGCTGATGTGACACAGAGGAACTAGAGGATAGAAAGAAAGAGAGAGAGAGGCCAACAAAACCAAAGGAGGGGTTTGAAAGGATCAACAAAATTATCAAAGCTTTAGCTGGATTAAGTAAGAAAAAAAAGGAGAAACAAATGACTAAAATCAGGAAGGAAAGAAGGGACATAGCTGCCGACCTTACAGAAATAAAAAGGGTCATAAAGAAAAACACGAACAAGCGGATGCCAATAAACTAGACACGTAGGTGAAATGAACAACTTCCTAGAAAGACCTACTGTTCACACTGAAAGAAGAAGAAAACAGAAAGTTGTGAACAGACCTATAAGAAGTAAAGAGACTGAATCAGTAATTTAAAACATCCCTCTAAGAAAGGCCCAGGCCCACACTGATAAATTCTAGCAAATGCTTAAAACCCACCCTTCAAAAACTCTTCCAAAAAACATAAAAAAACACTCCTCATTTCATTTAAAAGGCCAGCAGCACCCTGATCCCAAAACAAGACACATGACAAGAAAAGAAAACCAAAGACTAACCGCCCTTAGGAATATGGACACAAAAATCTTCAACAAAATCCAGCAAACCAAATCCAGCAAGGTCCACCAAGGCCGTGGCCACGGCCAGCAGGGTTGTCCCAGAATAAAAGGAGGCCCACCGCACAAAGTCGGTCAAATTCGCGCATCATATTCATAAAGGAGAAACCCACACAATTATCTCAGTAGACGTAGAAAAAGTACCTGAAAAAATCCAACATCCTTTCATGATAAAAACATTCAACAAAAATAGGAATAGAGCCCTAGCCAGTTTGGCTCAGTGGATAGAGCATCGGCCTGCGAACTGAAGGGTCCCAGGTTCAATTCCGGTCAGGGGTACATACCTTGGTTGTGGGCACATCCCTAGTAGGAGGGGTGTAGGAGGCAGCTGATTGATGTTTCTAACTCTCTATCCCTTTCCCTTCCTCTCTATAAAAAAATCAACAAAATATATTTTAAAAAAATAGGATTGAGGGGAACTTCCTCAACTTGCAAAAGGGCATCTATAAGAACGCTCCCAGCTAGCAGCATGCTTAACGTGACAGGCAGGATGCCTTCTCCTGAGGCCAGGCACAAGACAGGGATGTCCACTCCTGCCAGTGCCATTCGACACTGTACAGGTGGCTCCAGACAGGACAATTAGGCAAGACAACAAAATAAAAGACATCCAGATAAGAAAGAAAAAAGTAAAATTATCTCTATTTGTAGACAACATGATCTTATATATAGGAAACCTTAAAGAACCTACAAATAAGTTATTAGAACTAATAAACAAGTTTACCAAGATTTCCAGATACAAGATCAATATACAAAAACTTAACACTAGCAATGAATGATCTGAAAATACAATTAAATTTCATGTACAAAAGCATCCAAAAGAATTAAAAACATACTTTGAACATCCAGCAGCCCCTCACTACATTTTTCAACAGAAATCCACTAAGCATAGCAACCAGGCCCCTCAAATCTTTAGAGTAACCAGACAGGGCGCCGGAGTCAGACTTCTGCTTCTGACCCAGCGCGGGACAGCCACGGGCAAAGGCAAGCCGTTGAGAGCGCACTGCAAACTGAGATGCGGGGTGCGGGGGCCAGTGGAGGGGCTTTCTTGTGTAAGCCAGGCCAGGCTCTCCAGAACGCTGACACTGATAGACTACCTCCAGGACGAGACTTTCGGGGACTTTCACTTTCTTCTCTACACTTCTGGGCACTGGCTTTTAAAAACATGCTCATTTTGTAAAACCCACGTTTGGGAGGTCAACGGATGTGGCCACCTTGTCCCCCGAAACGTCCCTGCCCCGCTGTGGGAGGCCACCTGTGCAGCGAGGTGCTTTCCCGACAGCCGCCCCTAGCAATGCCTGTCTCACAGAGGGGCATATTGGGGCAGTTCCCTCAAGCTTACCTGGACGGGTGGCTCAATCGTTATCCAGGCCGGAAGCATGAGACTGGGGTTCAGAGGCTGGGTGCCCACGCGGAAGTACACGCCGCCCCTGGAATCACAGGCCCACACGTGCTGGTTTCCACACGCCAAGCTCGTCAGTTTTGCAGCTCCTGGAGACAAGGAAACACACAAACACGAGTTACTTCTGTAAAATGACTACTCTTTCACGGACTCTATCAACTTTAATTTTATTTTGCAAAGGAAGAGATGAGGAGCGTGACCAAGACCACCTGCCAGGCGCCACACAGCAGCCCCTCTGTACCAGGCGAGGCCGTCCCGGTGCCGTCAGCCTGGGGCCCTGAGCCACTGAGCACGGGGACTCGTATCTCCACGTGGGCCTATGGTTAGCGCCTTCAGAGGCGATATTACCAGCAACAGCAATAGGGACGAGCGGAGAGGATGCTCCCTTCACTGCTGACCCAGCTGGAGGTAAGGTGAGCGAACACAGCCCCCGAACCTTCACTGTTCTGTTCCTCTTTCTCCTTGTGGATTAAGCTGATTTGAAGAGGTAGGGAGGAAGGAGGAGCCTTTAAAGAGAAACCACATTTGATTGACAGTCTCTCTGGCAACCACCAACAGCTGCTGTGGGGCCGGGTTGCAGTCAGGCCCTCACTTTGAACCTCATCACAGCACCCAGTGTCCTGTCCACGTGAGGCCATCGGGACCAGACATGGAGGCATGTGCCCAGGGTCCCACGGTGGGGACGTGGCTCAGCCAGGAGGCTGAGGGTGAACTGAGGGTGAAGCCAGGGTGGCCTGACCCCACACCAGCTACCTTGGCCCCTGGGAAACCACATCCAGAGCGCAGACCTCACGGTTCAGCTCCATCAGCTCTGACACATGGACCGACCTGGTCACCCCGTCCTGTCAAGTTATGGGCCATTTTACCACCCCAGAGGGTTGCCTCAGGCCCCTTCCCATCACTGCCAGGCCACGACCCTGTGGATTTCTACCACAGGGAGTCTGGCCTCGCCTAGGCCTCCACGGAAACAGTCCCAGGTGCACGCTGGGTGTGGCTTCTCCCGCTCAGGGCCCCTCTTTCACGGCCGAGGACGATTCCCCTGCAGCAAACACCACGCGAGCCCATCCATTCACCTGCGAGGCACCTTTGGGCCACCTCCGCGCCTTGCTGTTGGGAGGAAAGCTGCTCTGCGCATTCTGGCAGACCTCTGGGAGCAGTGGTTTCTCTGGAGTAACGCCCAGGAGTGGAGCTTCTGGGCCCCAGAACAGATGTTCACCTGGCCAGTGTCCCCAGTGACATGACACCCCCACCAGCATCCGCTGCGGCACCTCTTCTGTCACCCCTCCTAGTAGGTGTGAGGGCATCTTGCCGCGTTTAACCTGCATGTGCCGAGAGCCCTGGTGCGGAGGCAACGGATGTGCTTCCGGGGCACTTGTGTGTCTTCTCTTGAGAAGTGTCCATTCAGGTCTTTGCCCATTTTTCAAGCCGAGTGGTTTGTCATCGATGACGAAGCCAAAGGGCGGGTCATCTGGACTTTAAAACTGGGGAAGAGGTGGTGCGGCTGCCCTTGCTGGCGGCGCTGCCTTGGCACCCCACGCAGTTGCCCTGGTATCGGATGACTGCCACGTGTCTGCACCAATGGGCACAGGTCTTGCTGTAGCAATCCTGTCACGTGCCTTTAGTATGAGACAAACTTAGAAGTAGAACTCCCACAACACAGAAGTCCTCAGCACCCCTTTGTGCATTTCTCAAAGACGATGATTTCTCTTATGCTGAAATTAACTGCCTTTTCCTCTCAATATTTTATAGGATGGCTTACCAGGGAGTTCAAGAGACTCCCTAGGGATCTAAGTTACGTATTAAAACATTTGCACCAATCAAAGTAAAGGAGCTTCAGCAGTAAGTCCCAGAAGTAGCTGAGAAATGCTAACTGGAAGGCAATGCTATGCTGGGGTCTGCAGCCGCCCTGAGAGCAGCTCCAGGCAGCAGCTGCCTTGGGAGTCACCTGGGGGGAGGCACCTGGGGGGAGACACCTGGGGGAGAGGCACCTGGGGGGAGGCACCGGGGGGAGAGGCACCTGGGGGGAGGCACCTGGGAGGAGTTACCTGGGGGGAGTTACCTGGGGGAGAGGCACCTGGGGGGAGGCACCTGGGGGGAGGCACCTGGGAGAGAGGCACACTGGCGGCCACTCAGAGCGAGGGGACACACCATGCAGAGCACAGTCACAGTATCAGGGGCACATTCCTTTAGAATACAGAAGCTGCTGGAACCTCAATGGCCTCAACCAGCTGATCCTGGACTGAAGAGCAGGGCAAAGCAGAGAACAGCCCACGGGGGCTCACTCTGCTTTCCCGGCTCTGGTCCGTCACAGAGGGAGGGGGAGGTCGAGGCAGGTGGCAGACACCCTGCCCTCTCACACACTCCATGGCTCTCAGTCCTGAGTTAAGCCGGGCCCCATCCGGCCAGCGGGCTACGAGCAGAAGTGACTGTCCCTCCTGAACGGAACCACTGGAGCTGGCGCAGGGCCCTCCAGCTGCAGTGTCTGAGGGGCCAGGGCGCAGAGCACCGGGGGGACCAGTGCTCCCACCCCGGGCACGATGGCCCTAAGAGACCGAGGCTGACAGCCAAGCTGGCGGGAGAGTAGGTGGCGTTCACTGTGAAGTCGCTGATACTGGGGCCTGTCGCTACACAGCCCAACCAACACACGCAATTTTCCTGCCACTTTCGGGTTTTTCTCTCCCATTAAAAAAAAGTTTTAATTACTTTATTCAACAGATCAGACTTCTTCCCTTAACAGCAAGTGGCACCTACTTGGTGTTTTACTGTATCGGGCTGCACACTTTCCTGCACACATTTCCAAAGGCATGACTGACACCAAGCACTTCCCCATCCCGCACTGAGACCCATGACTGTCATCACAGACCGCACTGTGCTGACCCGTGCCTGACAGTGCACATGTGCCAGGGCTCTTAAACATCCACAAAGGATGCCAACTGTGGGGAGCGGATATAGGGTTAAGCCTCCGACTGACCTGTTGGCAAAGTCACAAACAGGTCTTCGAGTCTTAATCCAATCTGAGAGGTGGCCGCTGATTTACACGCGTTAGCATTTAAAAAATAAAAAAGGGGGAATTTGCCAGAAGCTGGCCCATCCTTGCTGCTTGACAGTCACTGCAGGGAAGAAACATCTGCACAGCATATGTTTCAAGGGACCTGGGGTATATGGCATACTGTTCTTAATATGTTTGCTCCCCTTCTTAGCGCTACGTGTTCTAACCAGGGATCACCTCTCCGGGAAAGGTTGTTTCCCCAGGTGGGGATTTTTCCCTGGAGTTAGGGATTAACAGGACCAAGGAAGGGAATCAGTAAAACCCCTTAACTAAGTGCCAGGTGGGTAGTTAGTCACTTTAACTACGAACAATCACGCTTAAGCTACATAATCTTTACTTAGGAGAATCTCCTTCAGTTACTTCCTTGTAGCTTAACAGAACAATAGAGTAGTGACCTTGGAATGGAGATAAGAAACGCCCTAATCTTTGGAATAGAATGGATAGGATTAAAATCAAATGGTATAAATACAGATGTAATGGGAGAATAAAGGGAGAACCTCGCTATGCTGATCAACTGAACACTGCCTCCGTCCACACCTTTGGGAACCTCTGGACCTGCTGGGGCTGGACCCCAACACCCAATTTGCTTCCAAAAACTACGGTTGTAATAAATTGCAAATTCCATGCTGTTGTTATAACCGGGCTCAATAGCGTAACATTTAAGAATTCTCTTCATTTCACCTAAAGCAGCAATTGATTTGGTAGTTTGCACAGGGGCAGAAGAGGGATGCTACCCCTTTAAGAAGAAATTAAAGGCAGAAACTGTGTTCATGACTTGACACTTTGCTCCTTAAAATTGCAACTTCTGTGTGCCATATGGGGAAGACCAGTGACATTCCAGACTTTACAATGACCTGGCACAGCCAAGGTCAATACCAGCACGAGGTAGCCCAGCTCTCATGGTCGGCACTGGGAAGACAGGCTTTCATTTGAAGGTTCTAAGGCCGGGGCACTAGTACCGAGAGGCCAGGACTGAGAGCAGGGGCCAGCCATCTCTGAGGCAGCTCACATTCCACAGGATGCTCCTGCCACCATCTCTCCACGGTGGGCGCTGTTCCCCTTAGGAAGGTGAGGAACTGGGTTTAATGGGAAGACAGCAGCTTGCCAGGCCCAGCTCTGGGCACAGCCAGCACTGCCTCTGCTGTGAGTCCCGCTCCTCAGCCTGGCCTCCTGCCACCTGCTGTGTGACCCACTCTGGGCTTGGCTGGATCCTGGCACTGGTTTGCTAAGGATGAATTTTTTTTTTTTTGCCAAGGATGAATTTGCAGGCAGGAGGCTGGGCGGCTCCGTTCTCTGCGCCTGCACCACCGGCAGCAAGCACCCACTGCCTGTGCTCAGACGACCAAGCACATCCCGACTCAGATGCAGCTCCCCCTCAAATGGAGACTCACATCCCCCAAAGCTGTTTCTCCCCAGAAAGCATGGCCACCACCCCAGTGAAGCCCAAAGGCACTGCCAAGCCCTGCCCTGCTCGAGTGGCCAGCTGTGCCAGGAGGAACGGGCTGAACATGCAGGGAGGCAGGGCTGTGGGCTGGAGCCTGGAGCAGGGAGCCCCCGGTGGAGCTGGTGTGCTGGGTGGAGCCAGGCACGATGCCCACTCCCTCTGCACCAAGCTCTCAGCGTGGCAGGACAAACCACACCTGGGCTTTGCGCCTTCACCAGGAACCTCGGCATCTCCCACACAGGTCTGGCTGGGGCTGTGGGGGTGGGCTGGGGCAGGCAGGAGGGCCACGGCCATCAGTGACAACTAACAACGGCTGGCAAATGCTCTCAAAGGCGGAACAGTGGCCCTGGTGCTGGGATTAGGTTCAAAAGACAGTGTGAGGACGTGTACCCGGGTTGCAGGTTCAATCCTGGCCCTAGTCAGGCTCCTACGGGAGGCAACCAATCGATGTGTCTCTCTCACATCTGTGTCTCTCTCCCTAAAAGTCAAGGAAAAAAAATATCCGTTGGGTGAGGATTAACAAACAAACACAAAAACATGACCCTGGGCGATGCCTAGCTCTGGCCAGAGTGAGCTTGCCTAGTGGAGGGCCGCCGGCTGCTGCAGCTGCAGCTGCGCTGGATGTGTGGGGCCTGGCTGGACAACAGATGAAGGTCTCCGCATGGCACTCTGTGGAGTCACCTGGGCTGAGACCTGTGGTGGGTGGTGAGCGGCCCCTGCATCAGGAGGTGCAGCCTTCTTGCTCTTCCCGCTCCATGTCTGTGTGGAGGACTTGTGGCTGAATTCTCAAACAGCAAGAGCTTGCACAGCAATGCTGGCTGTCAGTTCACCGGGAGACCATATGGCAGAGTATTTCTAGGGCCCATCTGGACCCTCTGGAGCCCCTGGCACACCCTCTGCCTCAGACCAGCCACACCTAAGCTGCCGTTCAATCAAGAATCTGCCTGTAGCCCTAACCGGTTTGGTTCAGTGGGTAGAGCGTCGGCCTGCGGACTCAAGGGTCCCAGGTTCGATTCTGGTAAAGGGCCTGTACCTTGGTTGCGGGCACATCCCCAGTGGGGAGTGTACAGTAGGCAGCTGATCGATGTTTCTCTCTCATTGATGTTTCTAACTCTCTCTCCCTCTCCCTCTCCCTTCCTCTCTGTAAAAAAATCAGTAAAATATATTAAAAAAAAAAAAAAAAAAGAATCTGCCTGAATAACCTTGTTTGGGCTCATCCTATTACCTCATTTCTTAGAACACAAATGAATGATTTATCAAAGGCACCTGCTGTGTGGCCCGCCCTGTAACCAGAGGAGACTCGGAGAAGAGCAGTGGGAGGTGCAGTGTCAATCCGTCTGACTGAGCACCGAGCCTTGCTAGCTGAGCACCGAGCCTTGCTGAGCACCGAGCCTTGCTAGCTGAGCACCGAGCCTTGCTGAGCACCGAGCCTTGCTAGCTGAGCACCGAGCCTTGCTGAGCACCGAGCCTTGCTGAGCACCGAGCCTTGCTAGCTGAGCACCGAGCCTTGCTGAGCACCGAGCCTTGCTAGCTGAGCACCGAGCCTTGCTGAGCACCGAGCCTTGCTGAGCACCGAGCCTTGCTAGCTGAGCACCGAGCCTTGCTGAGCACCGAGCCTTGCTAGCTGAGCACCGAGCCTTGCTGAGCACCGAGCCTTGCTGAGCACCGAGCCTTGCTAGCTGAGCACCGAGCCTTGCTAGCTGAGCACCGAGCCTTGCTGAGCACCGAGCCTTGCTAGCTGAGCACTGAGCCTTGCTAGCTGAGCACCGAGCCTTGCTAGCTGAGCACCGAGCCTTGCTCGCTGAGCAGCTATTCTATGCTGGGAGGAGAGAGTAAACGGGTCACTGATGCTGGTGCAGGACACACCATTTTTCAGGCTGTAAAGCACGAAGCTGCATGCCATATTCAGACTGGCAGAGGCAATGGCACCAACGGGATTACTTGAAGCAGTTCTTTGCGGCAGCTTCCTCTGAGTCTGCTCCTCCTGAGCCTGAAAACCCCCAAACAAGGTGGGAGTGAAGCTCCTACAAAAGTAAGCAGCCCATTTAATCTGCAGGAGCAGCTAATCAACCTCCTGAAAGCCAGCAGTTTACGAAGTGTCATACGAGAATTCACACAAGTGGGACCCAGGGGCCCGTCACATCCACAGGCACGACACACAGGACGGCATACCTAGCTGGGCAAGGTCCAGCCGGGTCCAGTGCAGGCCGGTGGGGCAGCTGGCGGACAGCGTCCTGATGAATACCTGGCCCAGGCTGTCCAGCGCCCACAGAGCGTCCTGGCAGGCGGCGTAGGCTCTCATCTCGGTGTCGGGAGGCAGTTGCACCGTGGACGGGCGGGACTGCGCGTGCTGGGCGCCCACGCTGCACAGGTCCTTGCTGCCCTGGCACAGCCACAAGGAGCTGCCTGCAGGAGAGTTCAGGGGTGTCACTGACAAAAGCAGCCGCTGCCTCTGGACAGCTGACACCAACGGCTCCCTTGCTCCCTCGCCACCGTGACAGAAGCTCCATGTGCTTTAAGGTAGCGTTGGAGGGCACACCACGACTGAGCAAGAAACAAGCCCAGATATTTTAAAGAAGTGAGGGAAAGCAGGGCTTCTGGGGTTTTAGGAAGGCTATGTTGGCCCAGTGGCTCTGACCCAGGACGTGCTATGATGAAAGACTTGGTGTGTTCCCTCCGCGCTCTGGAGGGCGTGGGGTCAGAGGGCCTCAGAAGCACAGAGCCCAGGGGCTGGCCTGCTCTGCAGGGGGCTGGGGCTGGGCCTGCAGAAGCTGAAAGCCTTCCCTTCCCGTCCCTCCACCATGTTCAGATCCTTAGGTGAAGAAGATGCAGCTTAAAATGCGAATAACCCCCAGGAAGTGAAAGCGTGGCACATGCATGATCTACAACACGATCTAAACCTGTGGCCGGGATGTTTTGGAATTCAAGATTCCTTTGGTTTGAAGGCCTAGGCCAGTGATGGCGAACCTATGACACGTGTGTCAGAGGTGACACGCGAACTCCTTTTTTTGGTTGATTTTTCTTTGTTAAATGGCATTTAAATATATAAAATAAATATCAAAAATATAAGTCTTGGTTTTACTCTGGTTGCAAACATCAAAAAATTTCTATATGTGACACGGCACCAGAGTTAAGTTAGGGCTTTTCAAATGCCGACACGCCGAGCTCAGAAGGTTCGCCGTCACTGGCCTAGGGCAGTACCTCGGCCTGTGTTAAGTCCAGGCCGGCAGCGCCCGGTAGCAGTAACACCGCTGCAGCGCGTCAGTCAGCGTGCGCAGGCCCCTGGCTGCTGCGCCATGGCCCGCTGCGATGGCTGGAAGTCACTGCTGCCAGCCCCGGCGGCTACTGCATGTTCCCCTCCTCAGGACGTGCTGTCACGACTCCCTCAGCTCCACTGCTCTGGATCCTGCTCTCCTGGTCAAGTGGGCCCAGCCCCGGGGCCCTCGGCTCAGCCCACAAGGGCTACTGGCCTGTGACACAAGCCGCCTTGTCTCTGTTCACTCAGCCACGCCCCCACCCCAGCAAGGCCACAGGCAGACTGTGGCTTTCACTACCACGGCCACGGCACTGCTCTCCACCAACCTTCCTTTGTGGGAGCAGGGGAGGCCAACACAAAGGCCCATTTGGTAGCAGAAGCTGTCCCGCGGGGAACAACGTTGTTCCAGTGAGTGCCTGGAAAGAAGAACCAGAAGCAGGTGTTAGAGAAAGAAGGAACTAACCACCCCCCGGGGCGTGGGTGCTAGACCACAGCAGGCCCTGCAGCTCCCTGCTGGGTCCGGCCTGTCCTTACATGGAGGGCTGAGCCAGCACTCGAGAGCCGGCCTGGCCCTCTGTGGGCACCGGCAAGCAGAGCCAGACTTGCCCAGGGGCGAGGAGCTGGTGAAAACCCACCAAGCAGGGGTGCGCTTACAGGGAGGACGGGTGCGCGTGGACTTGCACCGCATCACCCATCTGGCTAGAGCCTGGCATTTTCAACAGCATGATAATGTTCCTCCAGGAAAGGGACTATTCTCTCTTCTTAGGCTCTTCAGGTTCTGGGTGGTTTCTCATTTAAATAAAAAATTATTAATGTAAAACTGAGCTCCATTTGCTTTCTATCATAATAGGTCCCCAGTGGAGACTGATCGCACACCACCAGACCCTGGGATCCAAGCGGCAGCAACGACAGATGAAGGAGGGAAACGGACAGGCACCAAGAATGCCTCCGTCCCGATCACCCCACACTGGCCTGTCGCCTTCGCAGGCTGAGCGCCTGACGCTTTCCTTGACGTGCCGGCCCCTTCCTCTGAGGGAAGCTGCCTCAGGCGCGTGAAGTCTAAGCAGTGCACCCACCGATGAGACTCCCCTTGGCGACGTGGAGGTCATTCTTGCCCGAGGAGATCCAGACGCCGCTGTTGTTGACCCCCAGGAGGCTGGGCTGGCACTGAAGCTGCTGAGACCAAAACGCCGTGCGCAGCTTGTCGGCCACCTTTTCCACGGGCGCCTGGGCCGCCGTAGCCACCGAGTGTGTGGCGTGCATGATGGTCTGGAACAGGCTGCACTGGTCGAACACCACGTAGTCTGTGATGCTCACCTGCGGGGACGGGCAGACACGGTCAGGGCCGCCCTCCCGCCGCGTGCACGTGCGTCAGTGAGGACGGAGCGGTCAGGACACCACCGAGCTGCTGTCGTGACCCCGGGGAGTTGGAGTTAGAGGCGGAAAATGTCACCTTTCATACACTCTTCTATCACGTGGATCTGTTACAAGCCTGTGACTGAACATCACCCCCTTACACCTCCACGTCTTTTGTTCCAGTTAGTGAGAGAGAATTGTTTTGTTTTTAAATTTAGGTATTTCTCATGGGCACCCATGTACAATACTTAAACTATACAATAATAAGACTTAAGAAGGTAATATACGTAATAATTTATTATCTAAACCAGGCCTGTTAGTCCTTATGCCAGGCCAACAGCCTAAAGCCCCCTCTTGGACTGAAGGCAGCACCTGGCTCAGATGCCAGGCCCTTGCTTCTCTCACGTGACCTGAAAGGTGCTTTTCCAGGTGCCTCCTGAGGAGACCCCTCCTGCTCTTTCTAAAAGGCTTTCACACACGTATCTGCCCTGCTGGGCTTAACCACAGGGGACTCGCTGCCCTATTCCTAGGATAGTCTCGTGCAGGTGACGGGCCCAAGTCTCGCACAAGGAACTGTTGAGTGAAAGGGACCTCCATTTACAAACACAGGGACGAAAAGGAGATTCCTGTAAAAGTCAGTACTGGGTGCAAACACTGCCCTTGGTCAGTGTGAGCTGCCGCCCTAACCGAAGCAGAAGCACAGGCTTCACCGTCGGGCCCCCGAGGCCCCGTTCTCAGCCCGGAGCCCTCAGAATGCTGGGCCCGCACACGCTGGCGCTGTGACCACTCGGGGAGGCCGCGCTTCCTGGTGTGTGCACCTCGCCAAGGCCACACCAGGTCTGGGACAGACGCAGTCCCAGCACCCAGGACCTGCGGATGAGCAGGATGCAGATGTAAATAAAGTTGAGCAGCCAAACAGTGCTGCTCTCATGCTACAAAGAGTCAGTCTTTAGTAATTACACTAACTGCTTTCAAATACCTCAAAGGTGATTCTGCCGATTAAATTTCTCTAAAGATAATGATCTGAACATTATGATAAAACGTACCTGCTTTCCTCTTGGCTACTTAAAAACAGAATTTAGTACGCACGTACAGGTGAGCGTGTGTGTGTGCGTGTGCATGTGCAACCATGTAACATGGTGACGAGTAGAGAGACAGTATTTTAAGGCCCTCGTGTAACTCTTCGAGTGGCACCTGGCCTGTAGATTAGAGACGTCTGTACACATACGCACACTCATCAAAGAGCAAACACACCGACTTCCCTGCATTCACACCTCAAGGACCAAGAGCAACAAGGCAGGTCTGAGGCGACAGTGAGACCTGAGGCCGTGGACACCACGCTGAAGCGACGCTGCGTGTTTACAGCTGCGAGGGCAGCGCAGCCTCACCCGCCCCACAGGGGGAGTAGACGCCCCTTTGAGAACATCCCAGCCACCTGGCTGGCACCAAGTCACGAAAGGGGGCTGATGACACCCTCCCTTTTGGGAGCCAGCGGAGGGTTCCCCTGTTGAAATGCCTCCCACTCAGAGGACTTCCGAACAAGCAGAGAGAGAGGGACTGTAATTGTGGGTTGGGTTTCCCAACCCTATTGTCTAGTCTCTTTTCTTGGCGAGTCTGTCAGAATTAAACATCATTATCACCCAGGTCTTCGAATGGACGCCAAGGGTTTATTTCACGTAAAGTAGATTTCTAAACACCCACAGAAACAGCCTGCGCTCTGAGCAGAGCTCCGCGAGGCACCTCCTCAGGGGGGAAGTCTAGGTGTCTCCAGTTGCTGGGACCCAGCAATCTGACTCAGTAAACTGAGCACTGTTACTCACCCCCTCCCCCCCATCTCTTTAGGGCAAAGGGAGGGGCTGGAAGGGGGCAGCAGCCCCACCCCAGGGAGACCCGGGCCGACCGGAACACCCACTTGCCACCAGTGGTCGTCCTCCCCTTGGGGCTTCTTGGGAACAATGCCGGTTCTGAACCACAGGGTTCCGTGGATGTCCAGCGCCCACAGGGTCTGCTGGTCCCCGAGCGCCACACAAACAGGTTCCAAGGCCTGCCTTTCGCTGAAATGGAGGACGACATGGGAGTCAGCATCCAGGCGAAGCCCCAGAGGGCCTAGGACTGCCAGCAGAGGGCGCCCTGGGGGGTCGGCCTGGGAGAAGACACCCCACCCACAAGATCCCAGGAAGGAAGCCGCATTTTGAGTTAAGTTACTGTGCAACATCAATTGTTCAAACGCGTCGTAGCTTCTGAAAGACATACACAGACCCAGAATGACAGGAAAGCTCTTGGAAGAAAACAGCCTAAGAAAAAAGTGGGCAGAGGCCCAGCAGGAATCCAGGCCCCCAGGCGCCTCCCCCTCCCTGTCCCCCCTTCGCTGTGCCAGGCTGTGCCGGGCAGCTGCAGCTGGGCAGACGCCGCTCTCTCTGGGCTTCTGGTGCCATCTCACCAGCCTCCAGGCTCTGCTGGGCTCCACTCTGCGCGATGCCCTCGGCCTCCGCAGGTGGAGCCGGGGGCCCAGTGCTTGCTCCGCTCCCTGGTTCAGGAGCATCGGCACTAACCGAGGGGTCAGTTCACACTCCCACTGGGAGCTCTGTGAGGCAGGGCAGGCTCAGTGGTCTCCGCACATGCAGTGCAGCAGCTCTGGCTTACAATGGCGACTTGCTCAACTTTCCTGGGTTGCTAAATGCAAACCAATATCCTAATCTAATTTTCTAAGGGCTATTAATAATTTCATATTAGCAAGATGATTGGATAGTAATTCTGTAATTAAAATTTTGCAAGGCATAATGTAACCAATAAATTACAGTTCAGAGGTCAATTTCAATTGACTAGGAGGATAATAAAGAAAAGTATTTGGCTCTACAGCATCCGAGATTCTAAAGAGAACCCCCCCCCCCCCCCGGCCCCCGCCACTGGGCAGTTCTGAACAGACAGTCCTGAGAAACGGGTGGCGTGTGCGGCTCGGGGTTGCACAGGAGGCAGCAGCATTGACAAAGCTGTGCTCTGACCCAACATGCAGTGCGTCAGAGGTAGACAGAATGTGTCTCCAAGGTCAGGCTGCTCAAACCGGTTCCGACAACTGCAGAGAACACCATTACCATGGAAACCCCCAGGGAACCAGCTCTTCCCGGGAAGGCTCCGCTGGACGCCTGAGGGGTGCCCTGCTGACAAGGACCAGAGGAGGGACACACAGGCCCGGTACCTGACGATGTCACACTTCCACTGCTCCCCTTCAGGACAGAGGCTGCTCACGCCCTCCCGGTACAGGAGGGCTCTCTGCTCCGTCAGCGCCCACACCACGCTGTTCCGGGCTGTCACCTGGGACAGTGGGTAAGGGCAGTCGACCTTTATGGCTCTGGCACAGGGGCGATCCACGCTGAGACCTGCCGGAGAGATGGACAGGAAGCCCCAAGCACACACAATCGGGCTGTCACACCTCACTGTCACGTTTACTTACTTTTCTTTTTGGTATTTTGCTATATTCCTTTGTAATAAGTGCTTTTTAAAAGATCTAGTCAGCCCCCGGCTGGGTGGCTCAATTGGTTGGAGCATCATCCACACACAGAGAGGACGCAGGTTTAATCTCTGGTTGGGGGTATGTACGGGAGGCAACCGGTCGGTTTCTCTCTCACATTGAAGTCCCCACCCGCCCCCTCTCTCAAATCAACAAAAACAATCTCAGGTGAGGATGAAAAATAAATAAATAAAATAAAAGGTCTAGTCAATTACCCAAGGGGAGGGAGGTGGGGGGAGGTAGAAGAGGGTTATTGGGGGATAAATGGTGATGGAAGGAGACTTGATTTTGGATGGTGAACACACAATATAATATACAGGTGATGTATTATAGAATAGTACCCAAAACCTATATAATTTTATTAACCAATGTCACCCCAGTAAGATCAATAAAAAAGGGAAAATAGGTGTTGTCAACACACACGGGGAAATGGTGCTGAAATGTAACATCAGGTGCAGCATTTCAGACGCCCTTGGGAAACCCAGGAGTAACAACCGAGTCTGGTACGTAAGGTGTCCTGACAGACGCGGGAAGCCCGTGCCAGAGCGAGATGCTAGCCTCTGGCTCCACCTAGTCGCCTGCTTTGCTCCCACGGCCTCTAGGATAACAGCTTCTTGCACACAGACGTGCTAATCGTTAGAGGAATTCTCCTTACCAGAAAGTGCCTCTCCCGAGGAGGTAAGTGAAGCGTGTAAGAATTAACGACTATTTATCAGAGATTTGCAGGAACCGCATGACCAGACTCACATCATTTGGCACAATCTTCCTTGGACCCTGCTGGTCCCAGATGTCTTCAGTCACCCGTCACCTCTTGCCCTCCCACTCCCCCTTCCCCAGACATAAAAGAAGCCTGAGCCTCCCATCTTCTAGGCTGGGGACTTCTCCGTAAATAAACCTCTCCTCACCCCAAATTCTGACACTGAGTTTGGCCTTTCGAAGCATCAGGCACAGGGCCTTTGGACGGGTAATACCCAAGCAAGAGAGCAGCCAGACCCCAAAGAACGGGGCCCAGGCCGAGAGCAGCCAGCTCTCAGAGATGCCCTTCCCTGTGGACATTGCACCCCTTGAGCCTCAGGGTGAGCAGAGGGGTCAGCAGCATCTGAGGCCTCCAGCCACCCTCTCAGAGCAGCTCCAACGAAGGGCCCCTCGCCCTGCTTTTACCTGGTGTGTGTGCGTGTGTGTGTGTGCGTGCGTGTGTGTGTGTGTGGAAGGGGTGCCCGTGTTAACACGAAGACCCCGTGTTTCCTAGGTGAACAGCATGGCCCATTGCTGGGGCAGCACCTGACTCCCCACGGGGCTCTCACCCTGCCTCCTGGCACCTCTGCCCAGCGAGCAGCAGGCCCTCCAGGAGAGCGGGCAGGACCTGCACCCCATATTGCGTGGTCTTCAATGTGCTCCCACTGGTCACACACACATCTTGCTCAATCGCAGGCCTTGGGGTGTACCTCCTCCCACAAACTAGGTGTGACTCACCTGCAGGACTTCTTCCCCGACAAGTCCTCGGGCCTCCCTGAGACTGTAACCCAGTAGGCCTAGGGCAGTGGTCGGCAAACTACAGCTCGCAAGCCACATGCGGCTCTTTGGCCCCTTGAGTGTGGCTCTTCCACAAAATGCCACGTGCGGGCCCTGACCAGTCTGGCTCAGTGGATAGAGCATCGGCCTGCGGACTGAAGGGTCCCAGGTTCGATTCTGGTCAAGGGCATGTGCCTTGGTTGCGGGCATATCCCCAGTGAGGGGTGTGCAGGAGGCAGCTGATCGATGTTTCTAACTCTCTATCCCTCTCCCTTCCTCTCTGTAAAGAATCAATAAAATATATTTTAAAAAAATACCACGTGCGGGCACACATGTACAGTGCGATTGAAACTTCGTGGCCTATGCGCAGAAATCGGTATTTTGTGGAAGAGCCACACTCAAGGGGCCAAAGCCGGAGTTTGTTGACCACTGGTCTAGGGGGTACAGGGCTCGTCTGAAACCACTGCCCTGGAGACTGCTGGTTATGAGGCCACCCGCTCCTCACCCCCAGGCAGGAGCACCCGTTTCCCCACCAAGAACCAAACTCAAATCCCCAGAGCTCCTTCCACTGGAAGGAAGACACAGAAGTAGGCCAGGGGCCAGGGCTGGCCCATGACCCAGGAGCTGCCCCCAGGGCTCCAGCAGGCTTCTGGGATGCGCTGGCCCTCCCACAGCTAGGCTCTGAATCTCCAGGAATCAGCCCTGATAGTTCGTAAGACTGATCACAACATTTGGCACCAGCAATACTGCTGGTTAGAAGACTGATCTTTACGGAAATCCAATATGGTCTCTTGACAACCAGAAAAGAGCTCCTGGCTCTGGCCGGTTGCTCAGTGGTTAGAGCACCAGCCTGCAGACTGAAGGACCCCGGGTTCAATTTCCAGTCAAGGGCACATACCTGGGTTGCAGATACCTGGGCCCAAGGTCGGGGCCCATGCAGGAAGCAACCAATCGATGTGTCTCTCTCACATCGATGTTTCTCTCTCTTTTCCTCTCTCCCACTCTCTAAAAATCAATGGAAAAATATCCTTGGGTGAGGATGAACAACAATAAGGAGAATTCCTGCCCCCATCCTCCCCAGTCCCGTGAATCACTGCTCTGGGACCCACATGGACACGGACTCTCATTAGACCCCTCTTAATAAACAAGTCCCCTGGGTCTCCTCCAGCAGCGAAGGTCCCCTCAGGGCAGTTTCCGTGAGCTATTTGGAGCAGACGACTCCTTGTTTTTCCTGACCTACATGTGAGTGCGTGCAGGGAGGCGGGCTGCGGCCTGAGAAGCCCAGGCCCTTCTCTCAGACCCCACCCTGTGGGTAAGTGACACTCAATGGCACGAGGAAGGAGAACAAGGTTCTGTTTCTGCTCCTAAGTAATCCCGTTCGTTCTTGCCCTACATTTGTCCTGGTTGAATTTGAATCAGCAGGAAATAGCGAGTATATCTAATGGCAAGCACTCTCTTTTTAGAAGGTGTTAATTTAAATGGCTTTTCAGTCATCTGATCGTTCCCACAAAGCAGGGCGCAGACAGCAGCCATCCCACCGGGCGCGCCGTTACCTGTCTGCAGGTACAGGTCTCCGTTGGTCCTGATGACCCAGGCAGCGTCCTCACTCAGTGCCACAAACACGGCCTGGGGCAGCGCCTCGTACCAGTGCCGTTTGCCCTTGATGGTCACTTTGCCACAAGCAAAAGCCCGGTTAGACTTCTGCTCAATCTTCCAGAGGAGGGCTCCTGTGCAGATAAAGCGCCCGTCAGATCATGTGGGAGCCTTCCCCTGGGCGCTGGGGAGGGGGTTCTCAACGTCGCCCTGGCTGCAGCCTCACTGGGAAGAGCCCTCAGTGCCAGGTCGATCTGGGGCCTCCACCTGCCAGTGTGGCTCTGGGTGTCCTGTCATGTAGTGTCGCCCATCTGGTCTCATCTGTGAAATGGCAAGACCACATCACCAACACAGCACAGGGGTGGCACCTCACGGCACTCATCACACTCAACAGGGGCGGGGCCTTCATGCCCAGGTGGCCGAGGTGAGCCCCCGTGAACACGGGAGTCGCAGTGGTGCCCTGCCGCGGGCGGGAGTCCTGCAGGTGTCAGAGGGGAGTCGCTTCCGGACCAGCTCCATGGACAAGATGCAGAGAAGGAGGCATCTGACCGGGGCTGTGCTTTCTTCACTCACGGGGTCTGATGGACATGAAGAAGGGGAGGGACGGCGAAAGGGAAGATGGGGGGCCTCGTAGACAGGGGGTGTGGCACAGGCTGGGCACCCAAGAGTGAGAAGCCACTGCCCAGGAATGACGGAAAGCACAGCAGCTGGACTAGAGGATGCGCCTGAGGAGAGGAAGCAGGACAGGTGCCCCAGCAAAGCTCCCCCTAAGTGCCATGGCTCAGGGCTCAGGTGCCGACACAGACACCCACCTTCTGGAGGCAGAGCTCTCACTGGAGAACGAGGGACAGGAAGGTTGGAAACATAAGGCAATGAACAGGGTCAGGGAAGAACCAAAGTGTCTAAATGGCTGAGGAGATGAGCCCAAAGGGGAATGACAGAAAGAACTGAAACACAATTGTAATGCTCACTGGTGGAGGAGGTGGTCTCAGTCAGCCTCTAAGGAAAAACACTTTTCAAACAAGCAAACCGGACAAGCTAGTATTTTAAACAGTGACAAAGCCCAGGGGGAGCTAAGGGAATCCACTGCGAAGGCACAGAGGACAGTCCAAGGTCAGACGCACTCTAGTAGGACTTCCTACCAGCACCCTAGCAACAAACCAGGTACTGCCGGCAGACACACAGAAACACCTCTGTTCTGCCTGCCCGCCCCCCAAGAGGCGAGGTGGGAAACACCACGACTGAACAGTGAGCAGGCACTGCAGCCCAGCGGCTCCTCATTCAGGGATGCCGGCACCGTTAGGTCAAAGTGGACGATCGTGGCAGCACACAATGGGTGCTTTTTCTTTCTACAGTCAGGGAGATCAGTCACCCAGAGAAAACATGACATAGCTCATTTAAAGATGATTTCTAAAAAGGAAACCAAATAGCCTGAACATATCCAACACATGCATCGGCCCATCTCCCTTAGTCCAGCTGCGTTACAGCAACGCTAAGAAACAGAAATGCATTTTATTTTTATAAGGAGCATGTTAACATCTCCCTCCATATCCTCAAAATTCAAGTTATTCGTCTAGCCTACAAAAAATGTTCACGTGTTACCGCTGCCATTAATAAAAAAACAAAAACTCAGACCGAACATCCCTTCACACTATTTAACTGATAGCAAACGAAGCATCTGTCTGGAGAAAGCCCTCCTCCTGGGGGAGGGGTGGGGGAGGGGGGAGAGAAGCTGGCTGTGGAATGGGCTGCAGGGAACCCCAGTGAGGGTGGTGACCCTGGGGCGGGAAGCAGAGCAAGCGAACCTGAGGGCGAGACTGCCACCTGCTGGACGGCATCTTCAAACTTCTGCCAGCGCAGCCCGGCGCCCCGCAAGGCACTGCAGAACAGGCCGCCTCTGTAGTCCAGGCACCAGACGTGCTTCTCGGAGACCCCCAGGCTGAGAATGCCGTGGCCGGGGCCAGAGTAGCCCATCCAGCTTTCTGCAAACTAAGGAGAGCGGTGAGTTCTGTGCAGAGCACGCGGCTGCGTTGCTGCAGTCACCCCGGGTAGCCCCGTGCTATGCCGTCCTTCCTGACGTCACGCTTCCAGGGCAGACCTGGCCCTGCCCACAGGAACAGCCCACCAACAGACGTGTCGGGGCAGCACCTCACCACCAGCATTAGCAGGAGCAGCTCCGCCACCATCTTGGTTGTGTGTGTTTTCATCAATTCTAAAGATATTTATTGTTGGAAATATGACAGATATCCATTTCCCCCCACTGACCCCTTCCAGCCCACACTTTCAGTCACTGTCCCAATCCTCGCGCACAAGGCACGGGGTGTGGCTCGTAGCAATCTGGCCGGGATGCTGTGGGGTGAACTGTGAGGACTAAGGTTTTCCTCAGGGGCATGAAGGCAGGAGAAAGGTCCTCAAAGTGCCAGGCACCCTCTCCTCTGGGGAAGGACTTTTCTAAGCTCTGGCCCGAATCCCCAGAGCCTGCCCCACACCGCGTCCGCCTGGCGATGCCGTTTGCTGTCACGTGCACTGTGGCATCCCCGGCTCCAAACAGCCGGCAACCGAGGCACTAGAACAGACAGACACGCCAGAGACTGACGGAGGCCAGGCCCTTGGCACTTCGTCCCAGAACCAGGGAGCTGTGCGTCCCACTTTCGAGACAGCAGGTCGAGAGGGGTCTGGGACCAGCCTGGCCTTTCACTGGCTACGTGTAAGCCACTCAACTGCCCCAAGGCTCCGTTTCTTTCTCTGTGAAGTGGGACAACAGCGCCTACCTCCTGGCTTGTTCTGTTTTTAGAGAAGTAACGAGTTAACTTGTGATGCCTGGCATGGTGCCTGCCCAAACGGCACCGTTACCAGCGCCGAGAACTGGGCGGGACGTGCAGGAAGCACAGGTGGCTGCCGCTCACACTCACAACCGCACTCACCCCCACTCGGTAGGAAAAGTTACCACACAGGGATCATTCTGAAACCAAATACCTCTAACAGTAATTACCTGCTCAGGGAAGTGAACACTAATTAAAAAGCACTTTTTAAATAAATGACCAAGGACGGTTCATAATCGTCTCCGGCTGCGTGGGCTCGGAGGCCCGAGGCACTGGACCCAGCCTGCGGGAGCCGTGGCGCCAGTGCTGCAGGCCGGGCCAGGGCCGGGCTCCTGCAGCCGGTGCCGTGGGCAGCCTGAGGCGGTGGCGAGGACAGTCCCTGCCTCCCCCTGCTCAGAGACCTCTCCACCGCCAGTGCTGGTCCTCTGCCCACCGGTGTCTGGAATGGCCCGGCCGCGTCAGGCCTCCCCGAGGCAACCAAAACTAGTGCCTGTGCTGGCAGGACGCTGCTTCTGCAGAGACGCGGGTTATGGAGCAGGGACACAGGTCAGCACGAATCCAGGCCATGCGCAGGCCCTGCACCGGAAATGCCCCCACCCAGACTTCAAACACTTGCCCCGCAGGTTTTGCAGTAGAAATAGAACCTCTTTCCATAAAAAGGAACACAGATCGCCGATGACGTCCCTGAAGCTGAAGGCCACATACCTGATTGGACTTCAGCAGCCCAGCGTCGTCGGCCGGCTGGCTCAGGTCCTGCAGGGAGCGGCTGCCTCCGAGCTCCGCCACACTCGTCTCCGAGGATGAAGAGGGCAGCCCTTGGGCATAGATGTCCTCCTCGTCGCTGGACGTCTGCACCTGATCCCGTGAGGAATGCTCGGGGCGAGGGTCCTGGGCGCTGGCCGCCAAGGCACAAATGGGAGGAGTCAGCCATCCGCCCACACTCCCCAGATCACATTCGGAAGCAACCACTGCTCTCTGGCCCGTGCCATCATCAGTGACAGCATGCCAGGGGTCGGAACCGAGGTGGCCAGGAGCCGCCATGTGCATCAGCAGGCCCTGCTCTCCGCTGGTCTCCTTGGCGCTGCCTTTGTTCATTCTGGTCTCCAGCAGCCTGCCCTCAGCACTGGGGGCCCAGCTAGGGCTGGATGGCACGGGGGGCAAGTCCAGGAGAGAGGCTTCAGACACCGTGCACTGGGGATCCTCAGGCTCGCAGCCCCCCTCCTCCTGGGCCTCAGCAGGGCTGTCCTGGTCTTGGCAAGGTGACTGTCTGCTACTGGGTCCACTGTCCGCAGGATGAGGCTCCCCCTCGAGCTCTGTGACCTCGCCACCTTCCACGTCTCCCCTCGGGATTAGGGGTAGGCGCAACCCGCAACCATGCAGCTCCATCTCGCCTGCCGAGCTCCATCGCGGTATCTCCATTCTGTCATCTTCGCCGAGTAAGTCAGGGGCAGGCTCAGGCGCCTCCAGGACACTGAATGCTTCCGGGTCATAGTTCTCCTGCAGGACACCATTCACCTCGCCACTGAGGCTGCTCTCCCAGTCGGGAGACTCTGTGCTCACCCGATCCACGATGCTGCCCAAACTTGAGGTCATGGACAGCAGGTCTGTGTTCAGGGACTGGGGACTGCCATCAGGAAACTCACAGCAGGGAGTCGATTCAAGGGAACTGTGCCAGACGCTCCTGCCTCCGCCTTCTAATTTAAAATAAGAATGTTTAAAATGAGGTATGGTCCTCCATAAAGACACGAATCAAAAATCACAATTTTAAGACCCTGGCCAGGTCGCTCCGTTGGTTAGAGCATCATCCCCAATACGCCAAGGCTGTGGGTTTGACCCTGGCCAGGGCCCACAGAAGAAGTGATCCATGAATGCAGACGTAAGTGGGACAATACTTCTCTCTCTTCCCCTTTCTCTCTAAAAGAGTTCTGGCTCGCCCTGACCGTTTGGCTCAGTGGATAGAGCGTCGGCCTGCGGACTCAAGGGTCCCAGGTTCGATTCCGGTCAAGGGCATGTACCTTGGTTGGGGGCACATCCCAGTGGGGAGTGTGCAGGAGGCAGCTGGCCGATGTTTCTAACTCTCTTTCCCTCTCCCTTCCTCTCTGTAAAAAATCAATAAAATATATTTTTTTAAAAAAAAGAGTTCTGGCCGAAACCGGTTTGGCTCAGTGGATAGAGCGTCGGCCTGCGGACTGAAGGGTCCCAGGTTCGATTCCGGTCGGGGGCATGTACCTGGGTTGCGGGCACATCCCCACTGGGGGATGTGCAGGAGGCAGCTGATTGATGTATCTCTCTCATTGATGTTTCTGACTCTCTATCCCTCTCCCTTCCTCTCTGTAAAAAAATCAATAAAATATATTAAAAAAAAAAAAAAAAAAGAGTTCTGGCTCAAGAAAAATATATTTTAAGTAAAGAAAAAATGTTTTAAACAAATGAAAAAATACTTTTTAAACTGGCAAAGAACAAACCTCTTAAGTACAAGTGACACCAACGCAGGGATATTTAAATGGATGCAAACATCCCACATGCCATGGGCTCTGAGGCTTCCCTCAAGACATGTCACTCAGAAAAATAAAAGAACAAATGAACCACAGAACAACTTTTAGAACTTATGAAAGTGCTAAAGAATCTGGTAAAATTCCCTTCAATACTGCAATGTCTTTAGCTAAGAGGAGTCTGAAGTTGAAGATATTCCATGTAAACCCCGTGTCTGGTAGCAAACACACCCGGCGGTCAACATGAATGATCCACCTGGACACGGGTCACTCCTGTCTCATGCCCTCCAGTGAGGTTCCCAATGTCTCTGTCTAGTAAGCGGTAGACACGAGTAAGCCAGACTTTCATTTAAAGACCGAAGAGCACAGAACCCGGCCGGGAGGCAGGGCGCCCCACGCACAGGTGGGCGCTCGCTCCTATTTACCCTCACGGAGACGCTTCCCGCGTCAAGGGCAGAACTTGGCAGCGCGCCTCCTCTGGGGGAGGAACACTCTGTTTTGAGGACCTCTCTGCTGACCTGTCCTGTGAAGGGCGAGTGCCCACTCAGCACCAGCACTCCCAAGGCCCCCGGAGCGGAGGCACCAGCGTGTGCCCCACACAGACGTACCTGCCTTCTTCTTCCTCCTCTTCTTCTTCACTTTGAGAGGCTTCACAACGAGCTCCTGGTCGAAGTCTTCCGAGCTAATGACACTGAACCTCTGCGAGGCGGGCTGGCTGCCCCTGCCCAGCTCCAGGGCCTGGGTCCCGGAGCCGCTGTCGGTGGAGTTGAGCGAGCTGCTCCTGCTCCTCGGCTCGCTGGCCACGGAGCTGGCCACGGAAGCGCCTCTGAGCCTCGGCTCCGAGACTGTGGCCCCTGGCGGCCTCTCTGTGTGCTGCGCGGGGACTTGCTCTGTGCATCCTGGCGTCTCCAGACTGTCTCGTACTGAGAAAGAAGAGTTCCGTTTTACCACCGTGTATCCAGGAGTCGACGTGCTCTTATGTTAACTTATCCCACACACCAGCCTCTGAATGCAGAGAACTCACAAAACTCAAAGAATCGCACAATTTATTCCAATCAACGGTTCTTGTTCTCCAGGCAGCTCATCTATCAAAGTCTCACCGCTGTCTCGTCAGTAACTGCACAGGAAGGGACCACCACTGGGTACAGAGTGCCTCTCACTGACTCACGAATAATGGACAGAGGAGGGGCCTGCCTGCAAAGGGCCTGTGCTCACCCCGGGCCCTGGATATCCGTTCATGTGCCCAGGGGCTTTGAAAACATCTGCATGCCTGTCATGACACTTCTCCACATCAGGGAGGAAAGGCAGGTGTCCACCAGAGCGAATTCAAGACCATGTTCATTAGCCCAGGCAGCGCCCGCTCCAGGCAGAGGCAGGGAGAGGAGCGGCCGGGAAGGCGCCCGGGCTCTGGCCCAGCACAGAGAACAGGCAAGTGTCCCCCTCCACGGCCCGCCCTTCTCTCACTCGACACCAGCAGGTCCCCAGGGCCCGAGCGGCTCCAGTCACTCCTCAGCACAGGACCGGGGGCCGCTTGGATCTACTGCGTGCCAGACACCGTTCCAGGTGCTGAGAGGCGGCCGTCACCGGCAGCCAGCCCTCCTTTCCCGGGGTTGTCGGGCAGAGAGCGGCTCCTGGGGCTCACGGGACCGCAGAGCAGGCCCTGCTGCGTGAAGCCCAGGGCGGGGCGGTGCCTGTGCCAGGTCACACAGCGAATGGACGGCAGCGCTCGGTCTGGCGCTGCGCTGTCCGGCACAGAAGCCACCACCCATGGAGCTGTTTACATTCAGACGAATTAAAATGAAACACTGAAAGGCAGCTCCTCAGTTGCACTTGCCACTCAGTCCTCAGCAGCCAGGTGTGGACAGTGCCACCTGCCGGACAGTGCGGATACAGAGCAAGGGAGGGACACAGTCACTCCAACCCCTGGGGTCGGGGGGGGGGGAGGATGAGGAAGGCGGTGGGTGGAGGGACAGGGGTCCTGCACTTCCTACAGGATTGTTGTAAAAGACAACAGAACCCCGTGACACTGCTCTGTGACCTCAGAGGCCCCACAAATGCAGGGGCTCTGGGATCGGATGCCCCGTGTTTGGCTCATGCAGCGCAGAGGTGGTGTCTTTGGGCTCCTCGGGCACCTTGCTGAGACTCGGCACCTCCCATGCGGCTGTTCTGAGGGTCTGTAAGATCGGGAATGTTGAGCACTTAGCCGTTCTGGTTCCCACCAGGACCAGTTCACTAAGCACGCCGAGCATAAGTGCTGTGATGTGTGCCCAAGAAGCCACAGTAAGGTCCTTTGCTCGTGAGAATCTGGGCTCGTGTGAATTACCAAACAAAAGTCAAAGGCACAGAGGATAACAGTTCTACAGGACGAGCTGTGGTAGGTGAAGTATGTCCCAGACGACGGGTTAAATGTTGTAAAATCTTATGCAAATCTAGGTCTTTTGCAGCATTAGTCCCACATGCTGCCTAAAGTATCAGCGGTCGGTCAAGTGGGCACTGAGTTCTCGCTCCCCCTCACCCGACCTCCCACCTTCCAGACCCATGGGAGCAACTCTCCCAAGGGGAGACCTGTCTGATGCAGGACGCAAAGTAGGTAGCCTTCAAGGACAGTGGCATACAGAGTATTTTAAGAATCATAAGAAGCCTGCTAGATGCCTTCGTTGTTCAGATAAAGCCACAATCATTTAGCAAAATGGTCAGTGTCATAAATAAAAACTGCCACTGCACACACAGTACCTGCATTTCCAATACAAACCTACGGACGCTAGTCCCTCCGGCCTGCTCGAAATCCTTATGATGTTCCTATCTCCCTTTAAGAGAAATATTTCATTTTCTGTGCAGGAAACAGACACGATATCACCCGATCCTTCCAATCCAGCAATCGTGGCCTGTCCAGAAACAAAAACAAAATCACAACACCAGGCAAGACTGCTCTACTAGACCCGAGCACACCAGCAGCGTAGGGACCCAAGTACGTCCCCTGTGTTTTGTTATGAAACTTCATGGAAGTTGGTAGGTGGTCCAACCCACAGTCAGGTGACACTGAGCGGGGTCTGACTTGGAGTCTACTCCTCACCAGTAAATTCACGTGCGTGAGGAGCAGTCTCCCACCTCCTGGCCGCTCTCTGGACCTTGTCCTCACCTGCTCCCCACTCCCTATGACACGGAGCTCTTCCTCCCTGCAGGACCTGCCTGGCGACCTCACACAGCTCTGCTCGTAAGATGAGAAACTGAAACTTTAAGTTTCTATATCCGACTCTAATAGTAATAATCTATTATCACCATGATTTTTAAACAGAAATGGTAAAATGATGTGTCTCCATTTGGGCAGAGGGGCCAAGGGTACGAGAACAGGGTGGAAAGGAAGCTGGAGAGAGCCCCGTCGGCTCAGGCCGCCCTGGGGAGACCGCGGGAGTCACTCTCTGCTACTGTTCCTGCCAAGCTGGCCTTCATTCACACACTTAGCCACTGGCAGTCAGGAGAAACATGACCCAAATAGACTACAAAGAACAAGTTTAATTTTGTGCTTAAGTGCAAAAAACCCCCACCATTTCCTGGCCGGGGGCAGGAATATGAATAGCAAACCAAGTATTTTTTCAAATCTACACAAATAATCAAACCTTCACCTGATTTCCTTGACTGGCCCAGAGGGACAAGTAAAGCATGAGAACCTATTCCGTTCCCTCCAGCACCTGAGAGGCAGCCCCAGATAAGCCTCGAGACACCAGGATGGGGTGTAGCCGTGCCACCTACCTGGCTGACAGTGTCTAGAAGGTAAACACTATATTCGTTCCAACTCAGCACCCAGCCTTCCCGGAAGAAGCAGGAAACCAGCCCCAGGTGCCTCTCGGGTAAGCTGCCACTTCCCGGGTCGAAGGAGTCCAGGCGCGGGTACAGCTCGAAGGGCTTGACTCCTCCAGCAAAGGCATCTTTTAAGATAAACGTGGCTTGCACAGTCCCCTGGACGTCAGCCCTCCACAGCCGGAGCCCTGGCCGGGATGCGTACAAGGTCAGATCGCTTTGCTTACAAAGTCCTGGTATAAAACAAGCACCAAATTTCCCGGTGCTGGAATTAAAGAAAGAAAGAAACAAGACATGGCTGATTGAAAGCGACCGCTGCTGCTCACTCCAACAGGCATGTTTGCTAAGCCTAACAAACAAGACAGATTCCTGAGGACCCTTTCCTGTTTCTCTTGCTAGCGGAACCAGCCAGCCCTGCACCCAGCCGACAGGTCTCTCCTCACATTCCTCACGACACCCAGGAGGGTGCACCCATGAGCGCACCTCCTGGTTCCCAGGCCACCGTGTCCTGGGTTCCCTGTGGCGCTGCACCCACTGCTTTAGCTGCACGCTCTTGTTTAATCCCCACGACCCTGCGAGGCAAATATTACGACTCCTGTTCGAGAGAAAACTGAAGCAGGAGCTGGCAACTCCGGTCTGCCCGCCGCCCCGGCTGAGACCGCTCCGCCTGCTCACCGCCTCACGCCCACTCCCCACGAACGAGCTTCACGTCTGGGGTCCTGGCCGTCCTTCAGGAGTTTTTCTAAACTGTCAGAGGGACCAGATCTCCCTTCTGAAACCATGAAATATCAAACGCTAACAAAAGAACATGTGTCATGTATGTGGTATATTGTTTGTGACGCATATACCCAGGAGCCCTCCCTCATGCTCCCGGGCCCCACGAAGTCCCTGCTGCTCCACCCCCAGGGGTGGCCGCTAGGCTGCTAGTGCTCCCCGGGCCCTTCCTTTCGCTGATGGGTGAGCCATAGCCCATGTTTCCTGAATGAGCACTGTGGCTGCTCTCTGCACACTTCCGACACTTGCTTTTAACATGACACAGGAGCATTTCTCAGACCCGTCCTTCCCGGTAAGGCTGTGGCTCATTCACCGCCACCGCCACACAGTACCCCACGCTGGCTCACATACTCCCATGTGGATGCGATTTGAATGATCTCCCCGTTTCCGTTCTGCACAGCGGCGCGAGGCGCATTTTTGCACGTGACCTCCAGCACACAGGCGCCAGTTTGTGGAGACCGCGGAAGCGGGACTGTGGGTTGCGGAGTGAGAGAAACTGAAGTCTGGAGACCACTTCAAACTTTCCCAGCGACCATCCCGACAACACTCCCACCAGCCGTCTCTGCGCCTCACTGCTCCACGCTGGCAAACCTCAGCCTTCACCAGCTCGTGTGTTAAGAGGTTCAAGTCAACCCTAAGTCCTGCTGATTCTCACTCCAAAATATTTCTCTGGTTTTGAACAGTAGAGAGAGGACTGGCTTGCCCAGCGGCCGCTCAGTGGTTGAGTGTTGGCCCAGGCACCAAGAAGTCACTGGCTCGATTCCCACTCAGGGCCCATGCTTGGGTTGCAGGCTCGATTCCCAGCTGGGGTGTGCAGGGGGCAGCCTACCAATGTTTCTCTCTCTCTCTACCTTCTCCCTCTCCCTTCTTCTCTCTCTGAAAATCACTAAAAACTAATTAAAAAAGAGTACTGGCTTCACATCGACACCTCCTAGCTATGTGGTGTGTGGCCCTTTTAGACCTCGGTTTTCTAGTCTGTAAAAAGGGATAGTAACTCCCATCTCCAAGGCTGAGGTGAGGATTGAGTCCCCACAGTCGCGCACCTGCATGCACGCGGCTGCAGGCGCTCACAGCTGGGAGCTGCCCCTCACTCTACCCACGGGCCCAGAGAGTGTCGGTCCTGTGTGCTGTGTCTCCCCACCGCACAGCACCGCAGCACACCCATCCCCGGACGGGGCCCCCAGGGGTCACAAATAAAGTATGTGGGTGCTTCTCTGCCCTTTGTGTCTCGCTAGGTCCCCACGGCACCTCAGTAACGACAACCCTCTGGACAGGGTCCAAGGAGGATACCATGGGTCAAATTCACTTTCAAACGAAGACTGTTACCAACTGAGGGTGTCCAGAGACACCTCTCTAACCAGCAACGCGTCTCATCACGGCCCTGAGACGCAAAGGAGTTCCAGCAGGGCGGCCACCCCTCCCCTGCCTTTCCTGTCAAATCAATTCTGCTTGGTGATCCCATGGGTCAATCTGCCTTTTCCAGGGCCGGCAGGAGGTCACTGCTGTGAACAGACCAAGCTGCTAATGGAAGGGCTGCTCAGCGGGGGGGGGGGGGGGGGGGGGCGGCTGCCCGAAGAACAGAGAATAAACTCCCCCTGTGTGTGGGGCACAGAGATCAATGCTGGCTGCACCCGCTGACCTCAGCCGCCCTCCCCCGATGGCACCGGCACTACCAGCCTCCCCGGCCCTCACCAGCGCCTCAGTTCCACCACACTTCCAAGCCAGCCCGCTGCCCACTCACCACCCCCGACCCTCTCCTCCTTCCCAGCCCGGGCGTCCTCTCCTGGGTACTTGTCCAGCTCCCGCCCACCCTCTCCCACTGTCCCTCCCTCCACCCCTCCTCAGTCCCCCCACCCCCACCCTGCACAGAGTCCTACCAGGGGCCTGGTCACCCACAGGCTGCTGCTGCCTTTTCCCACGGCAGGCAGGCAGGTGGACTTGGCCTAATCCTTCTTGTCACTTTTTCTTTCTGGCATCAGGTCAAAGGAGGGACGATCCCAGCCTAGAATCCTTCACCTCTTCCCCATCTCCTCCCTCCCCCGCTGCCTCCCCCAGACCCTGGCACCCCTGGCAGAGTGGCTGAGGGACAAACTTCTCAGAAGCCAGGCCGAGGTGTCCAGGGCAGGCTGGGGGCCCTCCGGAACCCCAGGCTTAGAGCCGTGTGGGCTTGCACGTGGCACACCGGAACCCTGGGAAAACGTCAGCCCGTGACCAGCAGGCCGCACTCCGGGAAACTCACCTCTTCCTCGGCTGGGCCCCGACCTGGCGGACAGACTGCTCCTCGGTGTGGAAGAGCAGGCTTCGCTGCAAGGTGGACACGAGCAGCACCTTCTGGCTGTAGTCCAGCTGCACGATGGAGGACGGCTCCTCCAGCACCAGGTGGGACTTGCAGACGCCCTGGCAGAGGCAGGCCGGTTACCCCACGCAGGGCCCAGCCCCCCACCTCCCCAGAGACTAGCAGGCCGGTTACCCCACGCAGGGGCCCAGCACCCCACCTCCTCCATGACTAGGAAAGCACCCGCTGTTACTTTTATTTAGGCCAAGTTCCCCTTAAAGTGCACGCTTTAACTTGCATCACATGTGGTGTCAACCCATCGCCCTGAAATTATCTGGAAAAGTTCTTACTAAAAAGAAAACAGTCAATGTTAACATCTATCTCAGACTACCTCAAGCTTGACAAGAAACATTAAAAATTCTGTATATTTTAAAATGTCTCAGTAGATCATTCAAAGAAAAATTCATAAACACCTAAGCAGAAACATGTTGCACCACGAGTATTACTTATCCTACTAGAGGCCCAGTGCACAAAAATTTGTGCACTCGGGGGGGAGAGGGGGGCCCCTCAGCCCGGCCTGTGCCCTCTTGCAGTCTGGGACCCCTTGGGAGATAACGACCTGCTGGCTTAGGCCTGCTCCCGGGTGGCAGAGGGCAGGCCTAATCCCTAGGTGCAGCCCCTGGTCGGGCTCAGAGCAGGGACGATTGGGGAGTTGGGGCGCCGCCCACTGTCATGCACAGAGCAGGGCGGATCGGGAGGTTGCGATGCCACCCTCAGTCACGCTCAGGGTAGGGCCGATTGGGGGGTTGGGGCACTGCCCCGTCACACTCAAGGCAGGGTCAATGGGGAAGTTGCGGCGCCACCCCGTCACACACAGAGCAGGGCCCATCAGGGGGTTGGGGAACTCCGTCAGTCACAGAGTAGGGCCGATAGGGGAGTTGGGGCACCGCCCCCTGTCACACATAGAGCAGGGCCGATCAGGGGGTTGGGGCGCCGCCACTGTCACACTCAGGGCAGGGCCGATGGGGAAGTTATGGCTCTACCCCATCACACACAGAGCAGGGGCCGTGGGGGGGGGGGAGAGGGTTGGGGCGCCACCCTCTATCAGCCACAGAGCAGGGCTGATCAGGGGGTTGGGGTGCCGCCACTCTCACACTCAGGGCAGGGCCGATGGGGAGGTTATGGCTCTACCCCGTCACACACAGAGCAGGGTGGGGGGGGTTGGGGCGCTGCACCCTGTCACACACAGAGCCGCAGGGCGATCAGGGGGTTTGGGCGCTGCCCCGTCACGCTGATCCCGGTGCCGGGAGGCCTCGTGGCTCCACTGATCCTGGTGCTGGGAGGCATATTACCCTTTTACTATATAGAATAGAGGCCTGGTGCATGGGTGGGGGCTGGCTGGTTTGCCCTGAAGGGTGTCCTGGATCAGGGTGGGGGTCCCCACTGGGGTGCCTGGCAAGCCTGGATGAGGGGATGATGGCTGTCTGCAGCTGGTCACACACCCTTCATGGTGGGGGTCCCCACTGGGGTGCCTGGCCAGTCTGGGTGAGGGGCTGAGGGCTGTTTTCAGGCTGGGACTGAAGCTCCCAACTGCTCCTTTTTTTCTTTTTTCTTTTTTTTTTTTTTATTCTGGGTCAGCTTTAGCCTGGCTCCAGCTCTGAGGCTCAGCTGCTGAAAGCAGGTATCTGGTTTGTTTAGGTTCTATAATCGAAACTCTTTATCAACTCCAGCTCTGAGATCCCAGCTGGCTGAAAGCTGGTTTCTGGGTTTTTTTTTAGCTTCTATATTTGTTACAATGTTTCTTAAACTGCAGGCTCAGAGGCCGGCAAGGCAGGCGGGGAAGGTTGCAGTCCTCCGTCACTGAAGCAAGCAAGCCTCATGTTCAGTTTAAGCTGCTTGGCTGCCGGCCGCCATCTTGGCTGGCAGTTAATTTGCATATCGCCCTGATTAGCCAATGGGAAGGATAGCGGTTGTATACCAATTACCATGTTTCTCTTTTATTAGATAGGATTATAAAGGAGCACATGGTACTTTCCATAAAATTATTGTGATTACGACCAGCTAAGTTCATACTATACTCCCCCCCCGCCCCCAGTTCAATGCAATTTTGGGGACATTTTATTCCGGCGGACTGAAAGGTCAGAGAAAACAGGAGGTTAGAAAGAAATTAAAATGGTATTAAATGTATTAAAGAACAAAAGTAATATCTAGAAGGCACTTTGCTGTTAACACAAACTCTACTTCTTGGTGGCAGAGATCTGCCTGCATCGTCACTCCTCTCCTGGGCCAGTTTCTCCGAGAAGAAGTACTGCTGTGCTATCACAGGCCTTGAGGGCCGCGGACAGCACTGAGACTCAGACTCACCATCAGGTTTACAGGGGACAATTCGCCCTCCAGACACAGCTCCATGAACTGTGACAGGACCCAGCCGGGTAACCGTCACCACGATGAGGACACAGAAGCCCCGTCCCCTCAAGCTCCAAGGACTGTTTAGGCAGATTTCCCACCCACATTTGCAGTTATGCAAATGGCAGCTTTTTAGTTTCTCACTTACCTTGCAACGCAATGAAATTTACTGTACTGCATTTTACAAAAACCTACATCCTCCTATGGCTTTATTTTTATAAATCTCACAGAGTCTTTAAAAAACAATGATCAGAACCTCAATGAAGCCGGGGAAGAAAGGATCAGACTGCTCAGGACACTGCTTCCTGCTGAGTAGCGTCCTGTGCGCTGCCCACAGGCCGGGCCGGCGAGTGGCGGCAGGAAAGGACACACGGGCACCCTCAGCAGTGTCACGGACAGCTTCCCGCACAGCGGTTCTCCCAGTGCAGCCTGCAATAGGCCACACCAGGGTGTCAGGCTTTTCTGATCAGAATGGCGACACTAACAAAGCTGCTCTCCTCCGTACTACATTATCAAATGTGTCAACACTTGGAAGACTGCCCTCGCTCAAGGGCTCAATATGTTCTAAGTGACCTGTGCACGTTACAAAATCGCATGTGGATCAAAGAGCCATTCTGACTGCAAGACGGACCAGTGGATTTTATGGTAACAGCACAAAAAATTCACCCCACGGCTTCAGTTCCATACTGTAACTAACCTTTCAGGACACTGCCATTAGTCAGTTTGTGACAGAACTAAAGAAGAATACCCACAATTCTCTGGAAAGGCTATTAAAACACTCCTCCGTTTCTAACCACAGGCTGGAGTTTCCTTACGTCTTCCAAGCAAAACAATGTAATTGCGACAGACTGCGGGCCGTCTTCCCCAAGCCAGGTATGAAAGAGACTCGCAAGCATGTAAAGCAATGCCACTCTTTCTACTTGTTTTGAGAATATTTTCATAAAAATGTTATTTATGTTAACATATAACAGGTCTATTATTATTAAAAATAAATTTAATAAATATTTTTTCCTCTCTCAGGTCTGATTTCTAACAGGGTGCACTGAGAAGGTAGAACTCGTACAGAAAACAGCACTTTGGGTCCCCACTTTAGGAGTGTGAAGGGGTCCTGAGACCAGACAGTCTGAGCTACTGCTGGAGAGGACCCATCAGAAGTCAGTCTTGGGTTGGAGGGACAAAGCCACTCCGCGAGTAGTTGCTGAAGTCCTACCCCGCGCTCGGCGTGAAGGCTACAAATAAGAAAATGGAAGGGCCGTGCCACCTCGGAGGGCAGACCAGCCGGGCAGGCAGGCACGAGGCCATTGTGCAGGGGGAAGGCAGGCTGGCGGTGGGAGCTCAGTCTGCAGTTGAGCTCTGCCAGGAGTTAGCTTGTGGTCCCGCCCTGCTGACTGTGGCTCTTGGAGTGGTTTCCTCCACTGACTGGGGTGAGAACACAGCTCAGGGGACTTGTGGAGGATTAAATGAAGTAAGAAACGTGAGGGTGGGGCTGGACCTGGTCATCTCACAGCGGCAGGGCTGGGCGAGGGGTGAGCTGTGCGCCACTGGAAGCGCTGGCCTCTGTCCAGCTGATTAGGGAGGGCGTCACCTCGTTCCTACAAACCCTCAAAGAATTAGGAACAACGGTGGCTTCTTTTCTTAGTAGAAGAGACAAGAGAATGAAAAAGTGGATGGTCCAGTACAAATAAAGGCCATGGCTCTTTTATCACGAAGTAGAGGCTCATGAAACATTAGAAAAGTCCTTGAAAGAAAATGTTCCTAACAACTGAGATAACAGGATGATGATGGAGAACACATGCTGACTAACTAAAAATGCAATGATGAACATCATTTCCCCAAACACCAGGCCAGCGGTGCTTCTGAACATAATTTTACCTGGTCTAGGTCCAGAGAGGAATAGACAATTCTCCCTCTGTCATCTCCAGAGAACAGTTTCATCCCATTGGGGCTCCACGCCAGGGCTGTGATGCTGTTTTTGTGAATCCCAGCGACATCAAATCTCCGGAGCTAGGAAGAAACAGTCACAGTCACACAAGAGACAGGAAGGATCAGCACGGGGGTGGAGCTTTGGGGACAAGGTGGACGGAACCGTCCCATTTATGGGGGAACTGGGTCCCATTTGCCTATGTGTAGGGAGCAGCTATAGGGTCAAGCCTCAGATTGACCTATGGCAGGACCACAAACAAGTCCCAGCTTGGAGGGCATAGTACTCCTAAGTAGCTAATGGGTGTGGGAGGTGCAGCAAGTGCTGCTAAAACAAGGTGAAACTCACAAGAGCACTGTAAACATGTTGACCACTTCTCTTGTTTTGCTTTGTGTGCTCTGACTATAAAATAAAGCTTCAGCTTGCAGGCTGGGTCTCTCTGTGTCAGAGATCCACCTACTTCAGCTGTATTCTCTTTGTGTTTTCTGATCCTTCACCGCCCCCCGCTCAGGTTCACCCATGGCCGTGCTGGCACGGCACATATGGCGCCCGAACAGGGACCTGAGTTTGGGGGAACTGCAGTTGTCAGGTGCAAGGACGCTCCCGTGAGGCACGTGCAGAAAGCAAAAGTAGGGTAGGGAGCGAGGTTTGGTAGCAGCTAGGTGTAAAACATGGGAAATTGAGGATCTCAGGAAAGGGACCTCTAAAACAATGCTCAATGAAGCAATTTTAAATTTCTTAAATTAAGACTGTCCAAATCTGAGGACTACAAAGACAGAGCAGATCCTGAACCCTAGCCATGCTGAACGCGGCATCTGGTACCCCAATAGGAATCTGGAGGAGAAGAGTTGCCTAAGCAAAAAATGAAGTGAAAAAGGAAAAGTGGAAATTCACTGGAAAGGTGGGAAGTTGACCGGAAAGATGGGGAAATTCACCGCACACAAAGCCTGTGCCAGCTTCGGAGTTGCGACCGTAAGTGAACAAGGAACATTTAGATTCCAACCAGGTTGTAATGGGGCAGAATTCGAGTAAAAGGCAAAAACATCATTGTAAATTTTTAGCTTGCATGCTCAAGGATAAAGGATTAAGGTGTCAAAAGGTACTCTCTTAAATCAGGCTCAAGGAAAATGAGTGCCCTGGTCATCTTTAACTAGGTGGGTTCTTGTTTGACTGCATTATGCCCACTTCGTATTGGGGATCAACAGTCTGTCACACCTAAGGCCCCGGACCCTCCACCTCTGATGGGATTGGCTCCCCAGCTGGAGAAAATGGGAAAACAGTCCTTTCACAAAAGGGCTCTGATGCTCTGTCTGACAATCACCACCTGACGCCTCGGGACGGGCAGGTTTTAGCTAAAACAACTCTAGACGCCAGTCAGTGCTGTGGAGAGCAGGATAGGGTGAGATCTGTAAACAACAGGCTGAGGTCTAAGCTGCATTCTGGTTGTAAGTCCCAGGCCATGTGAAACATCGGAAAGATCCATGGAAAGAGCTCTGATTTAGTAAGTCTTGTCTATGTGTTATGCGTGCTTGTCTATTGATTATTGTTTTATCTGTCTTTTTTGTTTGGTTTAATTTGTCTATTGTTAGTCTATTAAGCATGCCTTTATCTTCACAGAAAAGAAACAGTAGGTGGCCAGGCCATTACTAAATTTCTCCAGAGCAAACGGGATGTGGGGGTGGGGAGAGAGAATATGAGCGACACGTGTGGCCCATAACACAGGACAGGTTCTAGGAAAATTCTCTAGATGAGTGGTTCTCAACCTTCCTAATGCCGCGACCCTTTAATACAGTTCCTCATGTTGTGGTGACCCCCAACCATAAAATTATTTTCGTTGCTACTTCATAACTGTAATTTTGCTACTGTTATGAATCATAATGTAAATATCTGATATGCAGGATGTATTTTCATTGTTACAAGTTGAACATAATTAAAACATAGCACAAAAACAATATGTAATTATATGTGTGTTTTCCCGATGGTCTTAGGCGACCCCTGGGAAAGGGTCGTTTGACCCCCAAAGGGGTTGAGACCCACAGGTTGAGAACCGCTGCTCTAGACAAAGGGAGGTAACTAAAAAAGGCCCCAGCCATTAATTACTAGGTCTTTGGTGATCCTGTAAAATGGACACCCACTCTCGGGAGTGTTATTAAAAGTCTCGTTTTCGCCATGTTTTTATTTCCCAGTCCGTCATTTGAAATTTGGATGAGACATTTCTCACAACTTAGGGATGCGTCTGGGATTTCTATATCCATGAAGAGAAAAAGGCTAGCTTAAGACAAGGCGCACCCCACCCAATTTTGGTGGCCTCTTGGCCCAAGCCCCATCTCCACAGATGCTATAGAATAGGCCCCAGACTGTTTTTCTTTAAAAGATGACAAAGGTGACACAAAGAAAATATACAGGCTGGGTTTGGGCAATAAGATTAGTGTTTCCATAATAATGGGTAATTCTTGAATAATAATGGACCTCATTCCAAGTTTGCCTCACAGGTCCCAGGGGCACTCCTGTTTTTATAAAGGAAAATAAAATAAAATAATACTTTAACATTAAAGCCACTCAAAGTCAGTAAGTCATCTCTGTTACAGAATTTGCCAAAGAAAATGCCTTGGGTAATAATAATTAGCTTTAAAATCTCAAAGTTGTTAAGGCAAAATATACATAACTAAAATGAAAGGTATATGGTAAATGTTTTTTAAGTGGTAATTATATATGACTAAACATAGTTTTCAAAGTCTCTGGTAACTTAAAACTTCGGAGTTTGCTGAATTAAATAAAAAATATTAAAATCTAGGTATTTTGAAATAACAGAATACTGAAATATTAATCTGAGTTTCCTCGTATGAAAATTCTAGAGGACAGATTTGAATCTATCAATTGAATATGTCTTGTATTTTATTTGAAATATATCCTTAAAAATATAAATATATTACTAATCTGAGAAATAATGCTAAGTATTTAACTTGCCACCTAAAATTTGAGGCTTCTAAAAGTTAAAAGTTTAATTAAGTTGGGAGAAATTAATATGGTTGTAATAATGAAATGCATAAAGTATATAAATTCATTTTTAAGAAAAATAATTCTTGTGTTTTCTCTGGAGAAATAAGATATTGTAGTACATGTGGTAAAATTTCAACCTAGGATATAATATTTTATTGGCCTGATTGAAAAGGATTAATTCTATGGTCTAAACCAAATTTTTAATATTAAAACCAGTTTAAATTTAATTGATATCTTTTAAAAACAATTACAAAAAGTGTAAAATACAATGTTTGGGTTATGTATATTTGATAATCTTTTCAAGTTAAATTTCAAGATTTTAACCGAGAGATAGCTATGGGACCTTTCAAGGGCCCTGGAATGAGTCAAGGATTTATTCTATCTTCTTAAAAGAAATATTTTTACACTAAATTAGGCTGATCTAATATACTCGAAATCATGTGGGAAGCTTTATCAAATAAAAATTAATAACTGTGTTCTATTTATATACATATATTTTAAGTGTTAGAAAGGTTTCAACCCCTAAGCTTGGCAGGACAAGGTTGCTGAATACTTCGTTGGCTTTTCACAATATAATCAAAGTCTTACATAAACTCAGTTATATAAGAAGCCAATATTTTATAAGCAATTGGTTCTAACAAAGTTCAAAGTAAAATTTGCATACATATGCAAATAAGCACTAGCCAAAAAGAATAGTTTAAAAGTAAATTTAAGCTTAAAAAGAAGAAATTTTAAAATCTGTTCCACTACTATTTACAAAGTAAACTAAAAGTTATTATTCGGGCATTAAATCTCACCATTAATAAGACACCATAAGTAAAAAGAAAGCTACTTTTACTTGAGATGTACGCATTGCAATATTGTCCAGCATGTTTCTCTCCTTCTTGTTTTTCTGAAAAGCAACCAAGTTGGTTGGTCTGTTTAAAAGAAAGTAAAAGTTTTTAAAAGAAACTCCCTAAATGTGGCTTAGAGAATGCTCTAAATACAGTGGGAAATGCCCTTCAAATACCTAGGAACTATACTTAAAAATCAATGCATTAGGCCTCCAAAGGTAAGAAATATGAAAGGATTGCCTCAAGGCCTTAAATGACTTTTAGAAATTATTAGAGGATATTAATTAGTTAAGACCTTACCTAAAAATCTCTAATTTCGTGGCGCGCATGTAACAGCAGTTTGCAGCTATCTAAAAAATATAAATGCCAATCGTTTTGGGGCCATCTGGTAAATCCTATCTTACCTAAACCAAGGACATTTAAAAGTAAGTAATTTGCATTTTGCCTCCTTAAACAAAGCTTATGTCTATATACTCAAAAAGACTGATAGCAGAAATCCAATTAGTGTCATTTACTGTCCACACCCAAGGACAAATGAAGTTAGAAGATAAACCTTATTTCAGACTGATTTAAATTGGCAAATTGAAATAAGTGAATATTCAGGGGAAATTAGTTGTCACCTACTAAAATATAAGTTACTACAGTTTTTATATTACACCCCTATTATTATACCAAAAAATACTAGGCAGGAACCTATTCCTAGAGCATTAACTGTTTACTGATGGTTCATCTAATGGTAAAGTGGCTTATCATGCAATGAATTCAGACCGAGTCATCCAGACCAGTCATACTTCTGTGCAAAGAACTGAATTAGAAGCTATCAAGGCTGCACTGCAGGATATCCAAGAGCCTCTTAGTTTTATTTCTGATTCTGCCTATGCTGCTGGCCTGGTAAACAGAATTGAGACTGCTCGATTAAAATGACTCAGTGACACAAGCTGTCATTTCCAACAATTCTGTAAAAAATAGAAAATTCAACACATTACAGGACTACCATATAATTCCCAAGGACAGGCAATTATAGAACGCCATCAGTGGCTAAAATCCCAACTTGAAAAACAAAAAGGGGGAACAGTGGTGAAATCTCCTGTAAGTAAACTACACCAAACCTTAGTAACTTTAAATTTTTTCACTTGTAAACGCTGATGGCAAGACACCTATGGAATTACACTGTTGTCAGAATAAACCAAAGGAAAATGGTTTGGTTAAATGGAAAGATCCCGAGTCTGGTTTATGGAAGGGTCCCGACCCCTTGTTAACCTTTGGTCGAGGATATGCTGGTGTATTTCCAGAAAACTCCTCCAAGCCCCTGTGGATTCCTGCCAGAAACATGAATCTGCGGAGAAGGACTGAACAAATGAATTAGGACCTTGCACCTGGAGCCTCAACCTGTATCTGTGGCTGCAGACAATTGACTACTCCAGCCACATATAGGAGTAGCCCCAAGCAACATACTGAAGGAATGGAAGGAGAACGAGACAGAGATGGAGAAGCGGCACCATCTCCTGGAGATGGCGGCTGGAGGAGGTGCAGGGTACCCAGAGAAGCTTCTTGTCCCTCCATTCAAAAGACTGAGAATTGCGATGTGGAAACGCAAGGCACCGAGGTGTCAACATGGGGTCAGCTGAAGAAGTTAAAGACTGAAGTCCAGCAGATAGGAGAAAAGCAAGAAGTGGAAGCTACTCGCTCAACCATGTTTCTGGCTATGCTAGCATTGGTTAGCTGCCAGTCTTCTGTAAAGCCTTGCACAGCCAAGTCCGAGGACTCTGAGTAGATAACTTTCATTTTATAGCTGAAAATGTTAACATGTCTGTAGTTTGGTTTTTGCATTGGCATTGTTTTGTTATTGTTTCAATAGCCAGAGTTTTGTTCTTGATATTCAAGTTTTATTTTTATGGATATTATAATAGGTTAAAAACAAAAAAATGGGGAGATGTAGGGAGCGGCTATTGGGCCAAGCCTCGGACTGACCTGTGGCAGGGCCACAAACAAGGCCCAGCTTGGAGGGCAGAGCCCTCCTAGCATAATTCAGCTTAACCTTATAGTCCTCCCTAATTTCTTCCTAAGCAGCTAATGGGCTGTGGGAGGTGCAGCAAGTGCTGCCAAAACAAGGTGCAACTCACAAGAGCATTGTAATCATGTTGACCACTTCTCTTGTTTTGCTTTGTGTGCTCTGACTATAAGATAAAGCTTTGGCTTGCAGGCTGGGTCTCTCTGTGTCGGAGATCCACCTAGCCCCAGCTGTATTCTCTTTGTGTTTTCTGATCCTTCACCGCCCCCCTCAGGTTCACCCATGGCCATGCTGGCATGGCACACCTATGTACCTTCAAAACCCAGAGGACAGCCAGAGATTACCCAGTGGAATTTAAATCACCACATGTGCTTTTTGCCAAGTGTCCTACCAGAACAAAAACGCTACCTGATGACCAAGAACACAGTGTGAGCTTTCCTGGCCATTGCTGTCTAGGCAGATGAGGATTTTCACTTAAAACCCTGGGGATTTGCCATGATGGTCAGAGATGCTGAACCCTGTTGGCTCACCTGCTTGTTCCTCCCGGGCAGCAACGACACCAGCTGGAAGACAGCAACCCTCCCGGAGGCTGTGCCTGCGGCCACCAGGTCATCGAAGCAGCTCAGCAGCTTCACCACCGTGATGGCTTCTGTTTTCCCCTGAAAGAGGAAACATGCAAACACCTGTCAGCAGGCGGCTTCCGGAAAACATCCTGGCGGAGAGGACCCTGCAAAGGCAGCAGCTCTCTACCCCTGGGAAAGTGCACACGGTGCAGGGAGATGATGGAATCTGCTAAACCCTCCTTCCCATTTCAGGTTTGTAACTGTTGAAATGACAACATGAAAAACTGCATTTCTGATGAAGGAAATGCTGATCACCCAAGTGTAACATACTGAGAGGTCTCCACCCAGACAGGGGTCAGGAGTCAGGACGAGAAGAGCCGCCCAGGCCGAGCTCTGCTTTCTCCTCTCCGTGGCCCCGTCTCTCACACTGTGGGGGCCCAGTCGGCGAGACAGCACCTCCGCAAGAGCTTTGGAAATGACTTCTGGTGCATTCTGGTTCTTAGACCAGTAATCAGCAAGTGACACTGATTCAGGCTTACCACCATGGTTACTACGCAGCATGTGTCCGGCACTGCGCCGACCAGGCTTCCAGTCCACGTAAGTGATCATCTTTATCCTGAGACCATTCATTCAGAAAGTGACACCCGTTTTGACCTCGCTGCCATGACGAGATCCCCAGTGCGCCACTGTGACCCCACTGTGGTGATTTAGGTGGTGGTCAGCTGGTCGAACGGTACTGAGCCAGGTGCTATGGTAACATAAGCTAAAGCAGGTCGTGGTCACCCTTAAAGCTTTGCTGTGGCAACATGCACTGCCGCCCGCAGCCAGTGGGGAAGCTAATGACTAAGCTCGGCTCACGTTCCTCTGGCCCTTCAGGGCTTTCAGGGGTCCTGGGCTACAAATACCTTCGTGGCACAGGGTGCGGGTTTGGGTTGGAAACTGAAGGAAAGAAAGGAGGAGCCCTCGAAAAGTCCCGATTTTGCCAATGCGTCAGTCAGAGGGGATTCGAAGTGGGGTGCAGAGGGGGAGGGCCAGTCAGGAAGACCAGTAGAGAGCCTTTGGGGTCCTTAGGCTGCAGGTAGTATTTGCCACCCCGAGAAGGGCAAACTGAACGGGCAGAGGCAGTGCCCTTGGTGAAGACAGGAGACCCTCCACACCCGCTGAGTGACAGCAGCAGCAGTGAGAACCACACGGGCCTCTCGTGGGCTGAGCGTGTCCCAGCTGGTGAAGCACATGCAGTGTTGCCGCCTGCAGTCCTCAAACTACCACGTGGGTAGGTGCTGTCCTCACTGCCCAGAGGGTCAAGGGCTTGTCGAAGGCCCTGTGGCCTTGGGGTGCCTCCCGGAGGCCCTGCTCGCCTGGGCTTTCTCTGCAAGCGAGTCCACAGGCCTGGCAGCCAAGGCCGGGAGGCGCGTGGAAGGAAGCGAGGGAAGGACCTGACCACCTGGAATGCGGGTGACATGACTGAGGTTCCATTAGCAGAATCCGTTGGTGCTGCTTCGAGGGGAGAAAGTGACAGGATGAGCCCCAATGTTTTAGACATTATGGTTATTTTTTCCATCTTCCTAGTAATTCACTGTAATTTACAAAACTACCAATCAATAATGGTTTGGAAATTAAAAACAGAAAATTGGTTTGAGGCACTTAGAGAATATAATTCATGTACTAAAAATATGAAGTAGATCCATATTTATAGATATGTTACATGAAAAAAAAGCAAATAACAGAACAATATAAAGATTTGATTCAATGTGTTTTTTATAAAAACACCAATCATAAATGTAATAGATTTTTTAAATTCTCTATTTTGGTTGTTAGTTCAGTTTGTTCATTGAATTCCACAAATGAGTGAAATCATAAGGTACTTGTCTTTCTCTGACTGGCTAATTTCACTTAGCATCACGCTCTCCAGGGCCGTCACTGCTGTGCAAAGGAGAATATTCCTTCCTTTTCACAGCTGAGTAGTGTTCCATGTGGAAACGTATCACAGCTGTGTTCTCCACTCACCCACTGATGAGCACTGGGCTGCTTTCATAGACATGACAGTCTCGACATGGTAGCAGGATGCTGGAAAGGGGCTATTTTCCCTGGGAGTTTGTGATTATAAAAAGCGCCACCAGCCCTGGCCAGTGTGGTTCAGTTGGTTGGAGTGCCGTCCTGTACACCAAAAGGTTGCAGGTTCACTTCCAGGTCGGGGCGGGTATGAGAGGCAACTGATGAATGTTTCTCTTCCTCTCTCTCTCTCTAAAATAAAAATAAGAAATAAAACCACCACATCAGGAATCAAAATCATTTACTAGAAATCTTACCATGTCTTAGCATAAATTTACAACAGTGTGTAATTTTTCCAAACGGTTTCAAAATAAAACTCGTCACACCTCTGGGCTGGTGCCTGAATATCTGTGTGTGGTGCTCAGATACCTGCTCTAGTAAACCAATGTGCTGAGTCCAAGTTAATATTATTCAATACAATCTTCTATATATATAAAAGGTTAATATGCAAAATGTCTCCTCAGAGTTCCATCGCTTGCTATGACGTGTGCTGACCACCAGGGGCGGCACAGAACATGGCGGGCGACCAGCAGCAGTGGCAGGTGCTGAGGGAGCAAGGGAAGGAGGAGGCAGGGAGGCGGGAGGCAGGGAACCTGATCAGCCCTGATCACCGGCCAGGCCGAGGGACCCTACCTGTGCATGAATTTTGTGCACCGGGCCTCTAGACATTAATAAGTGTTACAGTTCTTGACTCAATAACCAAAACATCCCAAGAATCAGATCATCCACATTTAACTACATTTCACATAGAAACAAAATATGAGGCTTCAACTTCTGATCGTATCATCTAGCTATTCCAAAAAACATTTCTCTCTAAATATCTAGAAATGCTGAGTAAGATACATAAAAACATCCTTCTAAATGCATAGCTGATCTCTAAAAAGTAAAACCATTTACAGGAGCCAAAATCAAAAAGAATATTGCCAAACCAGGACAGAAGCCAGCCCTGAAGCTGCAGGCTTCCCTGGACTACCTGGCTGGCACCAGAACCTCGGGCTTCAGGTCAGATGAGGTAGAGACTGGAACCCATAACCCCTGCCAAAGCCAGAACCCCTGTGAATCCAGCCCTCAGAGGAAGGGTGGACGAGGGGAACGGACCTGCTGGCAAAGGAGGCTGACAATGAACTCGCCTTATCTCAGGCACTGATGACAGTGAGTAAAGAATCTTCCCTAAGAATCTGCAGTCACGAGCCTGCCCCACTCAGCATCAGACTTTGAATTTTTCATCCTTTCCGCTAAAAAGAAACTCGGTGCCAGGCAATTTAACTGAAGCACTTGCAGGTGAGGAGCACACGGAGGTGCCTGGCAGAGTGAATGTAAACCCCACCCGCGTCCCCAGGTCCCTCAGCATCTCGATGTGAGGATCAGCCATGTAATTAGGAATGGCCATAGGGAAACAGGCCCATGAAGAAGAGTCAACTCCGGGAACATCCACCCCAAAGCACCTGTCAGAGGGGAGCTTTGTTCCCAGGCAGGAGGTCGGCCCGCCTAGGTCCCGGCAGCACTGTCGCTGGCCGTGGTCTCAGAACGCGCATGTGGCGGACTGAGTGCCCACTGACGCCGCCCCCACAGCAGTCATTACCATGCGACACACAAAGTCAAAAGACACTGACGAACACTCTATTTTATTTGAAGAGATCGAATATTTGAGGGTTACTTTTCATGACTGAAGCAGGATGCACAAACCCTTACAGGGTATCCAAACACTAGGGCTAAAATCCACTATTAGTATCTCTTTCGGAAGTATTTCTGTTTCACAAAACCAATCTTTCATGTTAACACATTATTTAAAAATGGGAATTTCACTGCACTAACTTCATTAAACTCCAAGCGAGTCTGATCTCTCACACCAGGCTACAATGAGAGGTGGGCCTCACCCGCATCACAGAGCTGCTGGTTCCGGTGAGATGGACAGTGAAGGGGTCAGCAGGAAGTGCTCACTATCGGCTTTGCTGTGCTTGTGCAGGGACACCAACAGCCGGGCTGCTCGCAGGGGCCTGACGGCCTGGGCAAAGGAGCAAGACCCACCAGCCGCGCCCAGCGTGTCGGCACCGACACCCGTGCAGGTGGTCTGGGAAGGATGGGGTCCACTCCACAGGGGCACAGCAGGGGAGGGCAAGCACGGTGCTGCCCGTAGGATGCCTCATGCATGGGACTGTCCTCATTTTCATTTGAAAACGAGGAAATACGATCACATGAAAAGACAATTTACAACATAACCATACACAGCAGCGTGAAGGGTTATCATAGAACAAGCACCGCAATCCCATTTCGCTTGGGAAGGGGAACATCCAGAACAACTCCGAAGCCCTCTGTGCCCCTCCCTGACTCACAACACCACTCCCGAGACTGGGTGAACCTGGCCTCCATGTCCTCACACACGGAGGTGTGGCCCCCAGCCTCCCTGCCTCAATGCCCAATCTCCTTAGTGTCCTGGTGTTGATCAGCCCAGGAAGGCTGCCTCTCCATCACCAAATGCACAAGAAGTGCAAGTTCAAGCCAAATTACATTTTACAGTGAACGAAGTGGCGAACAAACCAGAATGCTCTGTAGGCACGAGCCATACACTCCTCTACGCTAACGTACATGCGCAGCAAGTTTTAGTCCAAAAGCTTCCTGACAAGCATGGAGCCATTTCTGATGAAACCACTGAAGCGTTAGAGCCAGCACACCCAGGGGGTCATGGCTCCCAAAGGGCCCCGCCCTCAGCCGCGGGAACCGGCCTATGCTGCAGCAGGCCACCCACTTCCTGTCACAGCCTCTTTGCTTTCGGGAAGGGGACAGCTAGTCTTATCCTGGCCTGGGCGCTGTGCTTCCAGCTCGGTCAGGGGCCTGTCCCTCTCAGACCTCATCTACTGTGTCGCCAGCTCCTGTTCCCCTCTTTTGCAACTTCCTCGGGGCACTTGTTGCCTCACTGTGACAACTTAACTTCCTCAAATAAAAGCCAATAATCAAAAAATTTAACAAGTAATTCGACAGGAGCTGGGAATGGCTTCCCGGACAAACATGTCACCATTAGGAGAGCCGGCAGCCCACTTAGGCTCTGGGCAGGCAGCTTTCCCTCCATGCATGAGACCAAACTGCAGGGGGACAGACGTGCAGGGGGACAGCAGTGCAGGGGGGACAGACGTGCAGGGGGACAGACGTGCAGGGGGACAGGAGTGCAGGGGGGACAGGAGTGCAGGGGACAGGAGTGCAGGGGGACAGCAGTGCAGGGGGACAGCAGTGCAGGGGACAGGAGTGCAGGGGGACAGGAGTGCAGGGGGTACAGCAGTGCAGGGGGACAGCAGTGCAGGGGGTACAGCAGTGCAGGGGGACAGGAATGCAGGGGGGACAGGAGTGCAGGGGGGACAGCAGTGCAGGGGGTACAGCAGTGCAGGGGGACAGGAGTGCAGGGGGGACAGGAGTGCAGGGGGGACAGAGCGAGCGGAGGAAAGGACCGCTAGCACGTCCAATGACCAAAGGACCTGAATATTCTGAAATATTTAAGAAGACTCAAATAAGATACGAATTCATTATATTTATAAGAATTGTTTTACTGGTTTCCTTCTTTTACTAACAAGAACCACAGTTTAAAGTGTGAATACTTAGCCTGGCTGGCATGGCTCAGTGGTTGAGCATCCACCTATGAACCAGGAGGTCAGGGTTCGATTCCCAGTCAGGGCACATACCGGGTTGCGGGCTCGATCCTCAGTGTGGCGTATGCAGGAGGCAGCAGATCTAGGATTCTCTCTCATTATTGATGTTTCTATTCCTCTCTCCCTCTCCCTTCCTGAAATAAATAAAAATATCTGTACACTAGTATATAAAAGCCTAAGCGACTGGATGACCAGTAGCTATGATGTGCACTGACCACCAGGGGGCATATGCTCAACGCAGGAGTGGAAACCACAGGCATGGAAACATGGAACAGACTGATGAATCTCAGAGGGAAGGGGGGAGGGAGGAAGAGATTAGTCAAAGATCTTATATGCATACTAGAGGCCCGGTGCACAGCCTGGCCTGAGGGGATCAGGCCGAAATTGGCTGACATCCCCTGAGGGGTCACGGATTTGAGAGGGCACAGGCCAGGCCGAGGGACCCGACTGATGCATGGTATTAAAACAAATAAAACGAAAAACAGTGTGAATACTTATACAATATTTAATGACCTAAAGCAGTGGTTGCCAACCAGTGGTCCGTGAGGTCCTAAAGGTTGGCGACCACTAACCTAAAGGGAAACAAAGGACCTGCTTTTCTGGACTAAAGCCCTTCACTTCACTCAGAGCTCAGTTCTGACTCATTAGACTCCCAGCTGGGTTCTGATCCAGTTAGACTCCCAGCTCGGTTCCGATCCCCGTTAGACTCCCAGCTAGGTTCTGACTCTCCTGTGAGCCTCCCAGCTCCATGTGGCAGGTACCTGGCCTGTTTTGTGCTCTCCTGCACCCCCAGGACCTCGGATGGGCCTGGCACAGTGAGCGCTGGACACATGCTTACTGATGTATGCACAGGACAGCAGGTGTGGCAAAGGGGCAGAAATGAGGACCAGCATGGCTGTGGATGGGCAAAGAGTTATGAAGGCAAAGCCACGAAATCTCAACAACCTGCTGAGTGCTAACAAGGGAGATCATACATTTAATTCCAAAACAGAAAATCAGAAACTCAGGGCACGTTACCTTTCTGATCCATTCCTATGTATGTCACAGTATGTTTAACAAGTTTATAACACTTTTATACTTATTATTAGCTCCTCACAACATTTCTCCGTGCTTCTGCCACTCACTAGCAAGAATTTCTTGTGTCGCCATCTGCTCTCTCTAACTAACTTGTGTAGAGAAAAGAAAAGGTTTCCAAAAAGGATTATTCTTGAAAACACATGCCAGCCTCTGCTTATCACGTAAAAGGTCTGCTTTCTTCTTTAGGAACATACTTCATCTGAAAAAATGCTCTTTCAGCCCAGCCAGTGTGGCTCTGAGGTTGAGCGTCGGCCCATGAGTCAAGAGGTCACCGGTTCAGTTCCCGGTCAGGGCACATGCTCGGGTCGCAGGCTTCATCCCCAGGAGGGGGAGCGCAGGAGGCAGCTGATTGATGTTTCTCTCACATCGATGTATCTATCTCTCTCTCCCTTCCTCTCTCTGAAATAAATAAAAATATGTTTTTAAAAATATATTTAAAAAAATATATTAATATAAACTCTAGAGCCGGTCTGCCCAAATTCAGACAATATTGCCACCATTCACTAACTCCTGACCTTGGGCAAGTCCCTTAATCTCTGTGTCTCAGTGTCTCCCTGGTAAAATGGGGATCAAAATAACACCCACCTCATCGAATTTTTCTGAGCATGTGATGAGTTAATGCATATATGTAAAGGTTAAATGATGCCTGGCATATAGTAAGTGCTACATGCATGCTAACCATTTTTGTTAGTTCAAACTGAGTATAGCCCTAGCTGGTTTGGCTCAGTGAATAGAGCAGGCGTCCTCAAACTATGGCCCACGGGCCACATGCGGCCCTCCGAAAACATTTATCCGGCCCACCGGGTGTTTTTGCCGCCGCTGCCTGTCCTGCTTAGCAGCCAACTCGTCCCGGGCCCGCAGTGCGCATGTGTGGAATGTCTGAGGGACAGTGAACTGGCCCCGTTTAAAAAGTTTGAGGACCTCTGGAATAGAGCGTTGGCCTGTGGACTAAAGGGTCCCGGGTTCAGTTCTGGTGAAGGGCATAGGCCTGGGTTGCACACTCGATCCCCATTAAGGGTGTGCAGGAGGAAGCTGATCAATGATTTTCTCTCGTTATTGATGTTTCTATCTCTCTTGCCCTCTCCCTTCCTCTCTGAAATCAATAAAAATGTATTTTTTAAAAATCCCTCCTTCCAAAATTTCCTGCTAAGTATTAAACACTAAAATATTCTCTTTTAAAATGATGCTAGATTTTTCTGGAGGAAGGAGAGAAAAAAACCACAATGTTTTAATCTATAGCCCACCTCAATTAAAGATGATTTCAAAGTATTGTCTGGGTGAGAATCTAAGGCCATATGCCAGTAAATGGACAGTAAACTGTCCCACGCTGGAACTCACAAACAAGCAGACATCAGCCAGGGCTCAGGCACGGCATGCAGAGGACAGCGGACTCACCTCGAAGTTGTACTTCTTCATCCGGCTGAGGCGCCGGCAGTACAGGTAGAGCATGCCAGTGCTGCTGCCCACGGCAATGTAGTCCCCGCTGGTGTCGAGGGCTGTCAGGTAGACCGCCACAGAGCGGAAGCCCTTCTGGATCTTGGCGGGAATGGCGTTGAGGAGATAATACAAAGGGCAGAACTCCCTGAACGTAACAGGCTCCGATGGGGACGCCATGGCCACGGTTCCCACGGCTGATCTTCAGGGAGGGAAAGGAGTGTTGGCTTGGCATCTAGGGACACCTGGGGGCTAGAGAACAAAGAGAAGTCACGTTGGGTAGTGAGAACAGGAACTCTCAGGCAGGTAGGAACCACCTGGAGCCGCACTAAACAGAGAAAGCATCCAGCTGTCATTCGGACCACTTGTTATTGTTGTTTGGAGCATTTTAATTCAAAGTGCACTTCATTATGTACTGACCCCTGTAATTTACATTGTGAAAATACTGTGGAAGGGGTGGAAATATTAAAAACAGTTCTTATTCCCAAGTAGCTTATGATCTAGCCAGGGAGCCAAAGAAACTGAAAATATGCAACTCCACCCAGGCTCAGGTGTGCATCCGGGGGTCCTGATGAGAAGAGGGAGAGTGGTGCGGTCAGAATGGGACAGGCTTTGCGGAAAACATCCTGAACGCTGATGTCTGCCAGGAGAATGGAAGGTGGAAGCAGCAGGGACGACTCTGCACTGGAACAGCGGACCAGCCCCACGCAGCAGGCTGGGCAGCCGGCGGGCGGGAAGCCTGCAGGGCCTCTCACCCGTTCCTCCCTGAGGCCCACACCTCTTGGCACTTCGGATTCAAAGCTTCCTTAGATACCCAGTCCTTACACAGTGCATTACAACTGACAAAGTGACTCGTTTAACCCTCACCCTCCCCTACAGGCCAGGTGCTGGCATCTTCCCCAACTTTATTTATTTTTTATACGTTTTTAAATTGATTTCAGAGAGGAAAGGAGAGAGACAGAAACATCAATGATGAGAGTGAATCATCGTTCAGCTGCCACCTGCAGGCCTCACACTGGGGATGGAGCCCACAACCCGGGCATGTGCCCTGACCGGGAATCCAACTGGGACCTCCTGGTTCAAAGGTCAACGCTCACCACTGAGCCACACTGGTGGGGCCGAAGCCAACTTTAGAGGAAGGTGCAGAAGGCCAGAGGCTCAAGACCAAGGGCTGGGACCCGAATCTAGGGCTGCCCTCCAAGTCCTTCCCTTCCCCAGGTCACAGGCACAGCTCTGACGGCAGCTACAGGTGGGCGCTGCGCACCTGACCAGGCTGGGGGGCGCCTAACCCTTGGGCCCACGGAGACTTCAGGCCCTCGCCGAGGCGCCCGGGGTGCTGGGTCGCAGCCTGTTCCAGCGGTGGGTCCCTCCGTCTGCGGAGCTGACCTGACGGGCTGACCGCCAACCTTCTCCAGTGACACTCGCCAGGGGCCCTGCCGGCCCCGCCTTCTCCCGGGATGCGCTCCCGGTCACTCAGCCGCTGCTCCTGCTGCTCAACCCCCGGTCTCTGCGGGAACGTCCCCTCCCGGCCCCCCGGGCCCCTCAAGCGGCTCCTGGGCGACAGAGTCCGCCCCGTGCAGCTCGCCCCCCAGCAGCCCGGGCGGTACCCCCTGCCGCCCGCAGAGCCCGAGGCGGCGGAACAAAGCCCGAAACCTGGCGAGAAAGCGGGGCCGAGCCGCCCTTCGGCACCGGCACACCGGCCGCCGGCGCCGGGCCAGCGCCTCGCCTCCCAGACCCGTCCCCCCTCCACCGGCGCAGCAGGAACGGGCCACCGGTTCCCGGGATGAACTGGGCTCCGCGCGGGGACGTCGCCGCCCGCGGACCTGCCCACCGCTCACCCGCACGGCCCGTCCTGCCGGCCTGAGCCCGGGACAGAGGCGCCGCTGTGCGCACCCCCGGGACGTGCCGGGGCTGCGGCCCACGAGGGTCCATCCCGAGCCCGGGCGGGGGCGGCGGGGCGGAGCCGGGGAACCGGAGCCGGGCGGGGGGCGGGCGACAGCTGCTGCCAGGCGGCGCTCCGTGTGCGGACACTCAGCCTCGGCGGCCGCGCGGTCGCCACGGGAGCGGGACAGCGAGGCGACCCCGAGGCGGGGGGGGGGGGGCGGGGGCGAGGGGCGCGGGGCGCCGGCCGCGTCGCCGGACTCACCTCCCGCGGCGGCCCCTCGGGCACTCGGACGCTCGGCGCCGCCGGCGGAAGGGGCGGGTGGAGGCCGGGCCGCGGGGGCTGCCGGGAGCCCGCTCCCTGGGCCGCCGGGCCCGCCCCACCGAGGGACAGCCCGCTCCTCTGGGGCTAGAGCGGCGACGGGCGGAAGTGACGTAACTTCCGGCGGCGTGGGCGGGGCCCCGGCCTCCTTCCTGGGATATCAGCGGGCTCCCATGGAAGGTGCGTGAAACGGGCCGCCGTCCGGGGCGGGTGGGAGGCGGGAGCGGCGCGTGGGACGGGTTCCGTGCATGGCCCCAGCCCCGGCCCGCGTGGGCTCCGCATCGGCCTGGGGCCGTCAGCCTGGCCGAGCCCCGGTTTCCCCTGCGTGGGGCGGGACAGTGTCTGCGAGAGGCGCAGGTCCCGACGCTCCCATTGCAATCGTCCTTCCAAGTGAGCGTCGCGGAGCCGGTGCCCCGACCTCCCCGGTCCGTGCGGGCTCAGTCCCCGCGCTTGCACCGAAAGCTGCCATTCGCGAGCGTGGTGCTCTGACTACGGGTCCCCCCAGATGCGTACACACACTGTCAGCTGGTCTAGTCACCGGAATGCTTTCCTGAGTCCCGTGAGCCTCTCTACCCAAGGGAGGGGTCTTGGAAGCTCCCATCCATAGCAGGTAGTTCGGAAGCACAGGCAACAGCCAACCTGGGCTTGCTGTTGGCATGTGAAGTGGAAGGTTGGGGGAAGGGACAGGCTTGTAGGACTGAGCCCTGAACCTTCGGGATCCGAGGCCCTCTTCGGTGAGTGTCAGAATTGAGGTTACTGCTCGGTGGTGATGGAAAGCCGCATTGGAGAGGTCCTCGGGATAACACTACGCTGGATACCTGCCAGTGCCAGGCCCTCACAGCTTGACATACGTCATCTAATCTTTACATCAACTCTCTGAAGTAGCTGTATGGCATCCCCGTTTTACAGATGAGAACATTGAGGCCCCTAGAGGTTAACTAAGGCGCCCAAGATTGCACAGCTGGCAAGGGCAGAGTTGGGATTCTAACCAGTCAGTATGGTCTTCAGCATCTAGACTCCAAACTGTACCGCTGTGTGTGCTGGACTCCTTAAGGGGCCTCCCACAGAATGTGGACTTTATCCTGTGGACCAGAACCCTTTGAAGGGTTCTAAGTAGGGAGGGAGGGAGGGCACGGGAGGTCTGGAAGAGAGCTGGCTTTTGCCGGTCTGAGGGTTGCTTTCCGCAGGCGCTGGGATGCGGGTGAGTCTTGGAGCATGGGCAGCACTGGCCCAGGAAAGGACAGAACTTTCCAGCAGAAAGGACTGCCTGTGCAAAGGGCTGCAGGTGACTCCACTTTCCAGGCGCTGCCAGGAGCTCATTTTAGCTGTAGGTTAAGGGGTTGCGGTGGAGAGGAAGCCAGGTCCTGAAGGACTTGGGACTGCCTCCTGCGTCCTCAGCACTGAGGTGGCCTCTGCATCTCTAGGGCCAGCCTGGCCAGTGTCTGGAGAAGCACGAAGCTCTGATCAAATGTGGGGCAGCAGTGCCTGAGGCAGGTGATGGGAGCCCTGGCTGGGGCCTGGAGGGCTTGGGCAGGAAGTCACACTCTGTCTTATCCCCAGCCTTTGAAAATGGTCCAAGTGCCCTTGGCTCGGTTGGAGCATCATCCCACACCCCAAAAGGTCGTGGGTTCAAATCTCGGTCAGGGCACATACCCAGGTTTTGGGTTTGATCCCCAGTTGGGGTGTGTGCGGGAGGCAGCCCATCGATGTTTTTCTGTTTCCCTTTTCCTCTTTCTAAAAAAAAATCAATTAAAGAATAAGAATAAAGACATTCATTGAAAGTGGTCAAAGTGCTTAAGGCAAAACTTTGTGGAGCCATTAAGTTGGGAAAGGGTCCAGCCATCTCCGGAGAGTCTTAAAATGTAAAAACAATTTTTTTGTTGTTGTTGTTCTGGGACCTTCCCCAGTCATCCATTCTTCTGTTTCCACGCTGTCTGTCCAGAAGATGTCGCGTGTCAGGTCGGCTTACAGTTGAGATTTATGAGGGCATTTGCCCTCCAACTACGATCAAGAATTTCACAATAACTGTGTTTCTTTTACTGCCTGTCAGCAAAGACCCTGGGAAGTGCAACGTCCCGGAAACCTGTCTTATCCGTTAGTGCGAGAAAAATTAAGGACAATGCAGCCGATTGGCATAATTTAATCATGAAGTGGGAAACCCTCAATGATGCAGGCTTTGCGACTGCAAACAACATTGCCAACATGAAAATCAGTTTACTGTAAGTACTGCCCGTGCTCCGAGCTCCGCAGCCTTCCTGCTTGGGCACACGTTTTAAGGGAGGTCTCTATGGACATGGATAAATTAAATTCTATTGAGTAAGAAAGTGGTAAAGCAGTATATGCAAGTGTGAACTATATGTGCACTTAAGTACAGATGACACTACATGCTGACCATGGTTGCATCTGTGCATGAAAGTATTGGAATGGATTGGTAGGACACAGGCTCAGCTCAGGACATTGGTCTCTTCTAGGAAGAATGAGTATTGGGGGTGGGGGTAGGTAAAGGGGACTTTGTCTTCATGAGGTTGCATTTTATATTGTGCTATTGTGACTTATAAGAAAACCATACTTGGTCTTCCTCCCTATTCCTGATACACAGCTCCGAAAATCCTTATAATTTCCTAGTTGCTAAGAGCAATGGGAGAATGTTTTGTTATAATGTTTGGTATTTTGTCCTCGAATAGTCCCCGTTCCTGAACTAGCTTCAGAGCGATAAGAGTGTCCGCTCATTTGGAACAAGCCCCTTCCCACCACATCTGAGTTTATGTAACTTTTGGTGACTTTTGGAAAGCCCCCAAGGTAGGGGGTGGTTGCCAAGGGAACCAGCCAGGCCATTAGAGGGTTGCACTTTCAGCACCACCCCTTAGCATCACCCCTCCGGGAGGTGAGGGGCTGGAAGTTGAATTAATCACCAGTGGCCAGTGGTCCAGTCCGTCCTGCCTGCATCATGCAGCCTCCATAAAGCCCCAAGAGCTTTAGAACTTCCGTGTTGTAAACAGGGTTACCTTGATGTGTGGGAAGGGTGTCCCAAGCCCCAAGGGACAGGAGCTCCCGTTTGGGGCCCCTCTGGACCTTGCCCCATGCGCCCCTTCATCTGGCTGTTCTTTAATACCCTTTGTCATAAGCCTGGAATCTATTGAGTAACCTGTTTTCCTGAGTCCCGTGAATGACTCTAGCAAATGACTTGAACTGGAGGACAGGGTTGTGGGATCCCTTGATTTATAGCCTGTCAGTCAGAAGTACAGGTAACAACTTGGACCCCTGGGAGGGTCACTCGTGGGGACTGAGCCCTTCACCTGTGGGATCTGTTGCTGTCTCCAGGTTAGATTATATATATAGAGGGTGTCACCAAAAAATGTATACACACACTTTGAACAATTATAAAGGCAGTGTTTTTCATTCTCAAAATTAAGCTATCAGCTGTTCAGTGTGTATGCACTTTTGGGGACAGCCTGTATATATGTTTTCTTAACCTCCTCAAAGTCCTAATTACATACGTTTGTTCTCCAGCTCACCTGTGTCCACAGGCGCGTCTAGGCTTCCCTTGCTGGCCAGGCCGCTGGCGCCACCGGAGGCGCTTGGAGCCTCCACTGTGTTTTCCTGGAGCCGGCTCAGCCGGTCCCAGTGCCCCGCATTCTCCCTTCTCTTTCATGTGGAATTTTCTCCTTCCGAGTTGCTTGTGACTCCCTAGGTCAGGGTCCTGCCCCGTGGGCCACAGCCTCAGGCTACACAGGCATCCCCAGCTTGTGAACTCATCTTCCTCACCAGCACCCCACCCTCCACCGAGGAGCCACAGGCTGAGTGTAATTGGCTTGTTCTCGTGGAAACTGAGTCACTGACGGATGTATTCATGGCATATGCCAATGAGTGAACACGTTGAACGACATGCAACACCTTTGCCGACCATCTGACATTACATGGATATTGAGTGTGCGCGAGTTTACCCTGACGTCTGAGGCGAGCTTAGCTTACGGACCGTGTTTTGTTGCCGCTCTTCCATTTCGTCCAGGAGTAAAGACAAGATCGAGTTGGAGAGCCGCAGCCCGGCTTGCGATGAGAATGCAGAGCAGAGGCCGCGGGAATACAGCGCGGAGCTGGAGGCGCTGTGTGAGGAGCTGCGGGTCACCTTGGACGGCTTGGTAAGACCCAAGGCCCCGGGGCGTGTCAGAGCTGCCTGGCTCTCAGGACACCGAGGGCGGTCTTCCCTGCTCACAAGTTGGATTTTCCCTCCTCAGCCTCCTCTGTTGGTCTCTTCCTCTGCCTGCCCTTTAAGTCTTGATGTCCCAAGATGCTGTCCTAGACCTTTGTTCTCTTGGTCCTACGTGCTGGCCGCTGCCAGGCCGCCCCCTCGCTGGGCTCCACGGTAAACATGCCAAGGCTTGGGGGGCCCCAGCGTCTCTGGTCACCTCTCAGCTCTGTCTGGAGGCAAATGGCGGTAGCTGTGCTACAGCAAAACCTTATTTATGGGCTCGGAAATTTCAATTTTATGTAATTCTCATATCTCACATGTATTCCTTTCGATTTGTTTTCAACCATCTAAAAGGCCCATT